ATCGGATGACCCCAAAAAATCCAAAAAATCTCTTATTTCGTCCGTTGTTGGCTTTGTCAAAGGGTTGTCGTTGCTTTATTGGCTGTCTTCTTGGCTGTCTTCTTGGCTGTCTTCTTGGCTGTCTTCTTGGCTGTCTTCTTGGCTGTCTTCTTGGCTGTCTTCTTGGCTGTCTTCTTGGCTGTCTTCTTGGCTGTCTTCTTGGCTGTCTTCTTTGCTGTCTTCTTGGCTGTCTTCTTGGCTGTCTTCTTGGCTGTCTTCTTGGCTGTCTTCTTGGCTGTCTTCTTGGCTGTCTTCTTGGCTACCCTTAACTTTAACAACTTCTTCACCAAATAGCTCAGCTATGATTTCATCTTCAGTTGGCAATACTGCTCTTGCTAAGACTTGGTCGTCGCAGTCAATAAATTCCTCTGCACTTGTGTTGGCTGGAGCAAATTTTTGATCTCTATTTCGCAGTTTCATCAATTCTTCCACCAAGTCTTTAAAAGGATCATCTTCCTCTGATGCTGCTTGATGTTGATTTTCGGAAGAAAGGCCAGCTTTGGCAAAGTAGATACCATAGACCACGATGCGGCTAATATGTCCATTGCATCCAAATGCTAATTTTTTGTAGAGACTTTTGTTGATCAATTGCTCTGATGTATTTCTGCACCAAAACTGTTCGGTACTTTTCCTTTAAACTTTGTATTACCCCTTTATCCATTGATTTGAACATTTAAATTGTATTATAACACTGTCTTTTCAATCTGTTAACTGTCATCTGCCGTTTAAACAGATTCTTTACTCGTATTTTTAATTTTCTCATATAACCAAAAACAAAAAGTTCGAGATAGCGAACACTTTTCGTCGAGGGGAAACAGATAACGGTTCGACATAACGAATATTCGAAATAGCGAGCAGTCGAGATCGCGAACGGTTTTTCTATACTTAACCCTATAGCAAAACCAAGGGAAACAGAAATTAGTTCGAAATAGCGAATGTTCGAGATAGCGGGCAGTCGAGATAGCGGATGTCAACTGTATTTAATTTAATTTATTTTGGAAAATTTATCTCATTGGATTCTCGTCGCCGTTTTGCTTTGTTTCTGAATTTTATCCTGATATTTATATTATACTCATTGCAAGATTCACAGAATCCGGCGGACAGCCTATCCTGCGGTTCTTCCTTCTCACACATTACTGTATTAAGTCGCCCAGTTACTTGCGTTCAAAGATCTGGAATTCACTTCGAAGCGGAATCAAATGACCCACGAATATAGTTAGATTTAAGTCTCATTGAAAGTTGGTTTTCTGGTAGCAAATGCTGGTTCACAGCATGTACTTATAGTAAATTATGTACATAATGCGATCTCTGGCCCCCTTCACACGGGAACAATTGTGTACCGTTCCATATCGTTCCGTAACGTGATACGCTAAGTGAACTTTTGACAGCGTTCTAACTTATGCGTCTTCTTCAAAACCCAAAGAACCACAGCTTGCCTTTGTAGCAAAGTTACGATGGTGCAAAAGCGATACTGGCGAGAAAGGGAAGATCAAAACGCGATACAATGTCCTTTTGTCCTTCATCCTCCCGGAGAGGTCGAAATACGCTAGTCTTGACTGACTTACTGAATTTTTCATGAAAAGGGACTGTTTTGTACCTGAATTGGTATTGTTTGTACACTCGAGCGCTAATATTCTGCTGAGAACAGCTGCACTGTGTCGGTACTCCTCAAGCGCTAGTTCAAGATACGTATTTAATTGCAGAGTTGTGCTTAAAAAGAAACATCTTTCAAGTTCAATATCACGATTTTCAATTCTGAGACTTACATTCTCTTAACTCTAGTCTCAAACTCTCTACTCTAAGTTGAAGTCTTACTGTCCTTATAAATTACCCGATAGCCTCGTTTTGATCATTTGTTGCAAGAAACCTTCCCGGGCGGTGACACACTGGAAGCACTTTTCTGTTTGATACAAATTACCGGCAGAGTAAAAAAAACCCATTCAAGATAGAAAATAACAATTTCATTTTAACCGTTGCCGAATACGACTCCTCTTTTTTAGGCCGACAAGCCATTACAGTAGAATCGAGCTCTTCAGAGATAAAATAACACCGCGCAATTCGAAAACCGCGCTCTTGTGCTTGATACTTTAAGCATAACCTTATCCATACTGAAATAATAATTGCTATGCGTGGAATTCAAAGATACTGTGGGCAAAGGACGCGTGAGGTTTTCCCCGACACACTGTTTTTATTAAATTGCAAATGCATATAAGTTGAGGACTCGCTCTTTAAAAATCTCGCTAGAGGGTCGACATCGATTTGTCAAACAATCAACTCAACGCTCGCTTTTGAGAAGTCAGATGACCATAAAAACAAGTTGAATTTTATATGCATTACCTTAATTACTGAAGAGACACGCGCATGTTTGGAAAAATTCTGTTTTGAAGATATTTTTCGCAGGTGGATCGCGATGGAATACCAACGAAAGAGATCGGTTGAAATTTGATAGTTAAAAGCTCTCTTTTCATCTTTTCTTGTACTTGAGACGTCGTGTGTCCAGAATCCTAAACTTTGTCAAATTTTACCGGCAATTCAGAAGTAGAGTAAACTATGGTATATTGTAGATATTGGCAGGGCCGTCGCTAGCGGGGGGGGGGGGATGGCACCCCCTTCCCCTAGAAAACTCTTGTCGGCAAATTTTCGAAAAGTAAAGTTTTGTCAGGTTTTGCTTTCAAACTTCCTAAAGCAATAAATAGCTTTAGCAAACGGTGGTGATACGATGAAGATAAGGCCGAAAAGTATCAAACAAAAGCCCTCAGAAATTGATAATAGGCACAGATAGCGCCATGGGAGGGACAAGCGTCCCCCAAATATTTAAAATGACTCTCTGTCGGCAGCCGGGGTCTAGAACCTAGCAGACAATTGTCAGCATATCCAGGGCAACCCGATTTCTACCAAAAGTTTATTGAAAAACACTGAACGCTGATCCTGGAGGTACTGAAAGCCCCTCTGAGCATATTGCGTGGGCAGCCGAGAGGAGGAGCAAGGAGGCAAATTACCCTAGGGCCTCGAGGTCTAGGGGGCCCCATAAAGTAATGAAATGCATTTTAAGAATGGAATTAATGGAACGCGGCAAAAAGTATGTATGAAAATAGCAAAACGTTCTAAAAGATTGCCAAAAATGACTGCAAGAAATATGCTGAAATGCTTTTTAAGATAATCTAAAGGGCGTGGTTGCACAATATTTCTGCTCGCTCCGCTCGCAGGGTACCTCGTCTTTCGGTTTTACCCTAAGGCCTCCGAATCCTCTCGGCGACCTTCCTCTGGAAGCATAATCTTTGATAAATGAAATCAATTGCGTCAAAAAGCCACACCCAAAAATTTGATATATTTTAGGCCACGCCCTACTTTGTCGGCAAATTGGTGACTGGCACTCCCCTAAGTGAAATTGGTGACAATGTTTTTAGCGAATGCCCTGGGTATCTGACGTAGGTTTCAAACAGGAAATGAAAATATAGTTTTTTGATGCATTTATTGCTTCAAATCGGCACATCCATGATGCGCCCCCCCCAAATCGGCACATCCCTGAATGCCTTCATGACTGTATCTGGGGTGTGCCATCACCATGCTCTGTATACTCGACAATATGTGGTTTATTATCAAAGCAAGAATTTCTGCTGTACTTGATTATGTTTTCTCATTTTTGTTTTGACTATTATGCTAGCTTTCTTCTGCTGATTTAGTTTTAGAAATAATAATTTTTTTTCAGTTGGTAGCCTTGTCGACACCTTTTGCCAGTTTATGAAACTTGTTGTAATTTATATCTGCAGAAAATGAGACTGAAGTCTGATGCCTATTATTATGACGTACTTCAAACCAATATTTTATATTGGACATGGTGTAATTAATTGATTTGGCTTAGTCTGGGTCATACATGTACAGGAAAATCATTAACTAGTATCGTTTTCCACTGCAGTAGTTTCGCGGAAGGCGCGGTGAGCTATGGATGTTGCCGGGATGGCACCCCCAGTTTGGCCGCCATTCACTAATTTTGCAAAATTAAAACCGACAGTAATCTCTGCTATTCATCGAGATTGCCAAAAAATAAAGTCGTTGCTTATAATATCCTCATTAATTATTTGTCACTAGCTTGAAGCTTAGCAAATGGTGACCATACATGCTTATCTAAAGCTTGCAATATATGCAGGGCAATTCATTTCTCTAGACAAATTGTCAGGTTCTTTTTTAGCACTAATATTTGTTCACAATTTGTCATATAAAGTCATATGAAAGGAATTTATTAATTACTTCGACTCTTTAATCATGTTATTGTCATTGTGAATTTTGAGATAATCGTTTTCCAGGGGTTTAAGGTTGTGGCATAGAAAATTATACGCTTACTCTTCCTGTCCAACCAGAGATAGTGTTAAAGGCCATCTTCAATGAATGAATTTGAAGACCTATCGCACAGTGAATGAGAACACCGTTATAAAGACGCACCTGTAGATGGCCTAAGAAATCTTTTCGAAAACGCTGATTTCTTGTTAAAATTCTCAAGCAAGTATGTTTATATTTCGATCGAGACCAATCTTACACTCGGCGTCTGAGTCAGTTGTTGAAGCGGAATCGATCATGTATGGAGCTGAGTATGCATCGTCATGATATTGTGTAAATTGATGAGGGCTGATTTTTCTTATTTAAGGCACATATTTGTTTGGATTTGGCCTGGATATAGATATGAATGTGATCGCTGTACTTTTAATTGCTGGCTATGTTTCTGCCCTAGTGACAAATGAAAGCCTCTATGAGGACTGAAATAACTGTTATCATGGTTGCTCTGGATTATTTTTGTAACATGTTTACTGATGATAACGACTGGAGCAGATGTTTAATGATAATGACATGTTCACGGCCTTCTTTCCGTTCCTTGCTAGTTTGAAGTCTGGCTTTAAAAATTCATTAATCGGAAGCCATTTTCTTTTGGCATATTTTAACTTTCTCTCTCCCGTCTCTACTTATAGTGGCTGAAAGTGACCCAGGAGCAAATTTCAATACCAAGAGTTTGAGCTTGCGTGTGCAGAAGAAGGTTGCTAGCAAGATGTCTACAAAAGGTGTTGCGAAGACATTAGTTGATGACACCACTGCCGCCATACTGGACCATTTGCACAAGCTTGCTAAGCTCGAGTATACCAGTAAGAAAGATGCTGAGAAACTAGTCAAGTATATTGTTAAAATTGTCGTCAAAGTTGGTCTTTTGCATCGCAATGACCAGTTCAATGCACAAGAGCTCAAAATGCAGCAGCAATTCCAGCAGAAATTTCATAATGTCATCATGACGGCGATCAGTTTCCATGAAGTCGATTTTACTTTTGATAGGGACTTTCTTATCTCCCAGTTTCAAGGCTTAGAGGATCTCCTCCATAAAATAGTGGAAAGGCACTTGCGTGACAAGTCCCAGAAGAGAATCGTCTTTATTTTTGATTTTTTCAAAAAAGAGTCCTTTTTGGATAAATTGTTTGCATCAGATGGAGAATACAAAGCGGAAATGACTGAAGTTACCAAGCTCCTTAACAAACTTGTCGAAGAAGGTAATGTTTGATGAAGATGATCAAATTATTGATACATAAAAGCCGTAATTGACAGACTTGTCTGATGAGAAATAACAGATTGATTTCATAAACCCTTTGACGAGCAAAGTCAATATTAATTTTATCAAATTTAAAATTTTGTTGGCGTGGAGTTCTGAAAATCGTTTAGTTGATTCTTATCAAAAAGGTGTTTTTGATAACTATGATATAATAACGTCTCGCTTAATTGCATTTTAGTCACCTAGGACAAGCTTTCAGCTAAGACGATTTCTCACCATTCATACATTCAACGTATATGCTTTTTTCTAGAGGAGATATTGCCTGTGAGATCCCAATCTTTAAGTCAAGCTCTTTGTAGATCAGGTTTTTACCGTTAACATTTTTAGTTTGCTCACCTCTATATACGTAAACAGAAAAGCTACCATGAAGAAAGTTAATTAAAATTTAATTCAGAATCACCAACCTAGCTCCATGAAACAAACTCTCTCCTTAGCTGATGTTTCAAAATACGACACAAGTATGAATAGAATATCTAGGATATATTTCCCCAATTACTACATAAATACTCACTTTTTCTTTCTACCTGGTTATGTCAGAGTTTTGTTATTGAATCTATACGAATGAGATAACTATCCTGGCATTTGTATCCCTTTTTGTCATTGAATTGCATTTTCGTTGCAAAAGTTCTTTATAGGAACCGTGTTCTGATCCAAGACACAAATGGGTGATTACAGTCAACTCTCTACCCAGAAATATTTTGACTACTTGAGCTAAAAGTTTCAGTAAACAATTTGCTAATCCAACCTGCTTTTGTGTCAATTGGTTTGATTTTACGGAGTCTATGATAGATTTTAGAAGATAGTTAGATCTGCTATAACCAATGATAAACTATTTATAAATAAAAATAGTTTAGATGTTCTGTTGATAACAAATTTATCAATACCTTATCGGTAGAAACTTTATCAGGACAACTATCCTACGGTTAATTTTTTTAAAGGAATGAAGTTTCATAAATTTCTGCAGATAAAGTTTTCTCACCGATAAAGTATTTGCTAGCCAGTAGTAAAGACTTTATTGTAAATTATTATCAAAATTATTACGTCAAGTCAGAAAACTAGCTCTCTTATTTAGAATGGAAGCATATTTACTTTTATTTCATATCGCGTATAAAATCGATAAATATCTCGTCGCATGAATAATGAATAATTTATGAATAGGAAAGGATCCTCCAAGTCTTGTTTTAGGAATGACAGGTATCCACTGGAGTTGACAAAACATTTGAAAATTTGTTCTATCTTCTTCACACCATTAAATATTGATTCTTAAACGCAAGTTTAACATTCTGTTGAAAGACACCGACATCTAAGACACTGTTCCTCGATTTTTATTGCCTTTTTTCATTGAACATTCAATGATCACAAATGTATTCATCGAACGCAAATGTTCCTAAATATCTCATTATATAGCGTGTATGAATTCATTTATTCGCTATAAATTAAGCTGAAATTGTAATGCTAAAAGCTAAAATTTTCAATCTTCCAGATCCCAGCGATTTTTTTTTATTATCCATTTTGAGTCAATCATCCACAACACTGTTTTTAACCACTTGCCTGTTTAGTAAGATATAGAACTCATTTAAAACGATAATTATATTCTAAAAACGATGTATGAATACGTGATAATAGTATGGTAATGCATTGCATTGATGCTCATTTCACGTTTAATAGTTTATGATTGTTTTTCACTTTTTCTTGTAATTTTATCGAGAATTTATCACAATTGTAACTAACTACCTTGTCTTTTTTTTCTTCCTATTTGGCACCTTCCTTGTCGTTCAGCCACTTTCGGTTCAAGTGCTGCTTTAGTGGTGGATTGGAATAATGCTAATATTTCGATTCATATGGTTATTTTCTACCCATTTTTTATGAGGAAACTCAAAAAAACTTGGCAATTATTTGATTGATTGTTTTTTCCGAAATTTGGTGATGATAGGATATTTATTGCAAAGTTTGGATATGATTATTAGTATTTATCTTTTTCTGTCGGTGAATAGTTTGAATCATTTTATACACACAACAAAATCCTTACAACAAATGTAAGGATAATGTGAGAAACTATTATAAAAAAATTCACGTAAATCTTCTCCATTAAATGTTTTTTGTCACATTATCAAGTCAGTCGATCAATCATTACGCTTTGGAATACTGTGTGTGTTTTTTTAAAAACTTCACTTCGATAAAGCTATTTTCTGCAACACCTTTCAAATGTTTAGAGTATGTTTTCTTCACCGTCCAGTTTTGGTAATTAAACTTAATCTGAAATGCTGCTAAAAAGGTGCAAAAACTGCCTCTCGAATTCTACCAACACCAGAAGCGTAGATAAAGGGTCAGGGGGCCAAATGCTATTTTATCGGAAAATTTCTGATCTTGTCAGAAATATAACATGGTTGTCTGTATTTTATCTAAGTGTTAAATTTTGAGAGGAAAGACTTTAAAGATTATTATAACGATTTCCTCACTTGTTCTGAATCAGGTGGGCAATCTCTTTCGATAAGGTATCGGACTTAAAAATGCCTTTTGAGAGGAGAAGACCATAAAATCTTCAATTAGTGTGATTTATGATATTTGACTTTGAGTATCTCCTGTTTTACTTCAGTTCTAATGTCATTATGTTATGTTTAACTGAATGAAAAAATTAAAAACTTTTGGTAGATTTTTGTCGGAAAATCTCAGTTTTTCGCCTCTCCTTTGAAATTTCCTATCCACGCCAATGACCAGCACACCAATTAACTGATAACTTGCTATCAACTGAATGCATACTTTTTACTTTGGCGTGGTATAACCATCAACCGGGCTCTTACAATCTGACAGCCGATCTACAATTAGAATGCAAGACCGCCGTGGGAAACAAGTTAGGAAAACAGTTGAGGTAGCTTAGCTAAAACTTTGTTTTTGTATTTTTGATACTATAACCAACGAAAAGCATAGATTGATTTTCATTATTTTGACTTCAGGTGTCAGGTGGCACAATTTTGCGAATTCGTGATTTGACAATGAGTAAAGTTGATGTTTTGACAAAGATATAATCAGGTGGCTTAATATGCTAAGTGTGCTAATTGCGTCAAGGTGGGGAGGGGAGAGTCGAAAGAACTGTTTGCTTACCGAATCTACCCGCTCTTTAAGGCAACCTCGCTATCGAATTAACGGCATTTCAAGTCGGGGCTGAGCTGTTGCTAGAGAAAATTGCAACTGTTGGCCTAAATCTTTTGGCAGCATTTTTTGGACACTTGGTGGTAATGTGAATTGCAAAATCGGTGTTAGATATGCATAGAAGTTTAAGCATGGGAGTTTGTTAAAAAGCGATGAAGACTGTGCAGATATGTCTATGAAAACCCAGCATCATGGATATACGAAGGTTAGAGATTCAAGAATTTTTCAGAACATCACCAACATCATTTTTGTCATTCAACATTTTCAACGTTTTCCTCTCCCCTTTGAAAGATTTGTGATTACTTTCTATAGAAATACACTATTTGAATGTAACCTGTAATTTTGAAACCAGGGTGGCTATGGTGCAATTTCAACTTTGTTTTGTGCGTGGGAAAGGGGCAACTTAGCCTCTCTCTTATAGGCCTAAGCGTTATTGAAAACAGATCGAGAATTATCTGAAACTGATTGGGTATTCCAATGACTTTTGGCAATCATTGTACCTAGTTTAAATATCGAGATGAACAACTTAATTTAATCTAGCCAATTATCAATTTGATTCAGACGGGTTAGATATGTGTTGATTGTGTAAGAATTTGGATACAGTTTTATTCTGACTTTTAAAAGTTGTTGATTGTATTGTAAGAAGAACAGGTATAGGCTTTGTGTGACACTTCTAAATCTGCCTTTTTTTGAATCCCCAAATTCTTGAAATGGCTCCTTTGAAGATTGGAACCCTCTTAGGTGAGACTGGAACTCACTAGTATTTCATTTTAATTCGTTTCACTTCAATGAATTTTCCAATTTGTTTTCCACTGCATCCCTTTTAATAGTAGAGCAGTGTGGGCATTCTGCCAATACAAGTTATTCTGCAAGTGATTCTGCCATCAGACAACATCTTTTAGATAAACTAGATTTTGCCAAAGTCTATGATGTTGAAACGTTTCAGACAATTGGCAAAGCCCAGTCATCTTTTCATCTAGCAGTTGGAGTTGATCTACGTACAAAAAGCAAGAACATAAAAGCAAGAACTTGTTTGGATAACCATTCTAGGTTCCAGAAGAGTAGATGATTTTGTCTGGATCGTCTTATGGCTTTCTACACCATAGTCTCTAAGTCACCCTACAACTCATTAGCAATAATTTTAGAACATAAAGGGGAACTGAAGTGAAAAATTAAAATCAATTACTGGGTAGTTTTCATCGTGCTGATTTCCAATATCGACACAAAATTTGTGTTTTTCTTTTTCGTTTTTCCGCATTTACCACGTGAAGTGTGAAATTTCTTCATTTCCGTGGCCGAGAGGTCTGGAGACAAGTTTCAGGCGCTGATGTAAAGTCGTGGACACGTTCCCCGATCCCAATGAAAACAACATTGTAGGAGAGTGAATCAGAGGGAGGGAATTCGGTTAGTGGTTAGAATTTCAGTTCGCAATTTTCACGACAGCTCTTCAGGAATGGCAACAGAATTAAGATCCAGCGATGAGGAAGTGTTTGGAGCATGTGGTGGTGAAGTACTTGCCCTACCAAGGGCGAACAGGATCTCGAAAGTGGCAAGAAGATTTGCCTAGGCCCATGAATTATCTCCCGCGACCTGCTCGTTTTGTTGGTAGAAATGAGGAAAAATTAATAAATGGTACGTTGATCCTTGTTTCTTTTCTTGCAATGAAGGCAAGAAATACTCAAACTCAATTTCCTTATTTCCTTATAAAAAGAAAGATAACAGAGAATGAGCAGGCTATATAATATAATCTTTCCATTTCTAAAATCTGAAATAATAAGGATTATTACATGTTACAATTTAATAAAAATTTGCTTTGATATAAAAACGTTTATACATAGTTTGATGTGTAGCACGGAACAGGTCGACCCAATCCACATTTGGTTTAAAAACTGGTTTATGTTGTGTATATTGACAAGTATTATTAAATCTTACTGCAGTTCAGATTTTTGGACTGATAATTCGAAAATGTCAAATATTTAATAGAATTGCATAAAATATGCCTAAAATAGATTAATACCTAAAATTATATCAACTTTGCTAGGTATCAGTGGCCAATCAATCAATATAAACAGTGGCCAATCAATGGATGGTTAGCTGTTTTTTTAGTATTTGTGCTGGAATAACGACAACTTTCACCATGCATTTATCACAAATTTAAAGAAAAGTACTTTAGTCAAAGAAGACAAGGGTTTCAAAATTCTACAGAGAGACAATGAAAATGCAAAAATCAGCTACCTACTACATATACAATTGAATACAGGGGTTACATTCAGGAGTTATTCAAAGAGACCAGAGTTTTAGTTCATAAGATAAATTTTTTATAAGTTAGAACTAGTGGGGTCATGTTAGAAATTTGAAATTTGTTTGTTAGAAAGGTAGAAATTTGTTAAAACTAGTTGGGCAATGGCCAAATCTTGTCAGCCCTAGGCCAAATTACTAGATTGATCACATCAAGAGGGGGGGGGGGGGATGATCGAGCAAGGCTTGATATTTTCAAGATTCCTATGGTGTATTTTTCAAGATATTTCACTCACATCATAATGTGTAGAAAAGTTTGGATTTGATCAAGTTTTTCTCTTACTATAAAGGTCCTGTACCACCTGCTTGCAGGGGCGGCGCTTAGGGGTAATCAAGGTAATCGCTGATTACCTTTTTTTTTCCAGAACTTGAGAAAATTATGCTTAAACCTAAACTGAAGTATTACGACCACAATGAATGTTATAGGTCTTGATGTGAATCGAAATCCATAAGGACAAGCTCGTCCAGGGGCTGTTTTACGGCGTGTTGACATTTAGATCTTCATTTGTTTTGGCTTTTGTTTCGTGGCAGGCGATAATTATTTCTTAATCCTCTGACGCATGTTCTTTTTGTTCTATTGCTCAAACGACCGCCAGAACTACGAGAACCGCGAGGGCCGCGAAGCTGCAAGGTAATCAGATCCCTGTTTGATGACCTTTTCGTTGTTTCTGTGACGTAGGTCTTATTGTGCTGATGGCTTTTGAACAAAGAGCGCCACGCAGCAACGTAATCATTCCGCAGTTTCATTACCTCGAGAGCAGTTCCCCATCCTTCATGATTAGTAGAGTGCTTACAAACGACTATCACTGGGGTATTTCACTACATTCTGAGCAAGAAAATCATGAACAGCGTTTGTAATTAAAAAAGGATGGTTAGCCATGCCCCAGAATAAAATAAAAAGGATGAACCAGTGAGTCTGTCTATGTGTTTATTCCTGGATATGTGGATGTAACAACAAAGAAGGAAGGAACATTTTTTATCGCTGGTCTCTTTGTGATGGGTGGTTTATCAACGGTGCGCTTAAAATTAAATAATTTATTTCAGGAATATTTGCCAAATAGGAAAGTTTTTTTTCATATTTTGATAAAAAATTAAAGATTAAACAATTTAAAGAGGCTTTTAGTAAATTTAAAAAACTTTTCAAAAACTACTAATAAGTGTTCTCATGGAAAATTATTGTCCAGAAAATGTGCAGAATCGTTTATCATGGACAAATAAGTCTGCATGAAATCTCTACGTAGTGATTCCTGGTCAATCCTTTCAAGGTAAGCAAATCCACTTTTGATTACCTTGCCCTTTTTACGGCTCACGAAAATGGGCTTTTGGCCGATTTGAATAGGTCTGTTATTCCAGAATCGTTTACAGGCTCAAAACCCGTGGCATGAACTGTCAGCCGTTCACTGCATCTCCGAAACAGAACCTCAAGGCATTTGGTTGTTGTGTTGTGCGGCGGAGTATTCTGTGGTTGTAAGCACAGAATGGGAACTCAGACATTATGTAAATAATCAAGATCGAACTTAAATAGGTTGAATGTTTAATGATGATTCTTTATGTACATTTTAGACGAAAGCGCCTTTCGTACTAATAGGCTTTCATGGTTTACTTCGACAGGGTACAAAATGGCAGTCATCAAGCATCCCAAAACCAAATTCTACCCAACGGCACAGCTAGGTTATATCGATGTTGCTTGTGCATTAGATGAGGCAAGGCAAAGAGAGGTTGTTAGGCACAACAAAAATGCATCAAGATACGCATAAATGGTTCATAATCACATTGATAATGTTGTATATTAATCCGCACAATGAAAAGCAAGAGGGAAATTGTTTTCGAAATTGCTAAAACAGTTGAACCATCAAGCATACGATTCTTCACTATTCTTAGGGTTTTTGAAAGGGCGTGGTCCTGAAAATTTTTCCGGGGGCTCCACCCCCGGGCCCCCTGGAGGATTCGCTCGCTTTGCTCGCCAATTTTTGATTACCTACTTTGCGACGCTTCGCGCCGCCCCTGCCTGCTTGGTAACATTTTTTATAATTAATCAGAAGAAAATGTGTTACCTTCAGGGTACAATGTTCTTTTAATGTATTCTGTCACTGCCTGTTGTTTAGATACACTGTTTTCAAATTTTGAGAATGAAGTTTTTTGGTACCCAATTGTTTTTTTCTTATGAAATTTGCTTCAACTCAACAAGTTATTGAGATAAAATCTCTGACATATCTTTTGATAAACTTGGAAACATACATCATTTAATGGTTGGGCTTAAAATCCTCCCCTTTTATGTACTTCCTGGTATGAATTGTTTTTATGCCTGGAGTTATATCAGAAAATGTTTTGATATCATGTTCTGTAGACAAGGCATGAGAAATCACGTTTAATGGGGGTATTTCTGAGATGGGGGACTACTTTTATCTCTTTCAGCAAATCGAATTGTGTAGGCTCCTCAAGTTTCATGGCTTTACAGCTAACAGAAATGGATTAACCATAGTTACGTCCTCGGACTGCTGGGCACAGGAGCCCCAATCTAAAACTAGTGAAAGGGGTATTTCTGAAGTGGGGGACCACTTTTATCAATTGTAGCAAACAAGTTTTATGACTGTATAGTTAACATGCTAACGTATTCTAAGTACTGGGCACAAGTACCCAGTCTAAAAATAGCACAAGGGGTAGTTCTGAGGGTGGGGACAATTTTTATCATTTTCAGCAAGTCAAATTTTGTCGGTTTGCCAAGTTTCATGGCTGTATAGTTAACAGAAATAGATTGAGCATACTAACATATTCTGGGTACTAGGCACAAGTATCCCTGTCTAAAAATAGCACAAGTGTTTTTTTCCAAAATGGGCCTATATTCTATCTTGTTACGCATATCAAATTCTGTATTTTCACCAAGCTTCATGCTTTTATCACAATTTGCATGATAGCTACCTGTCATGAACCTTATCAAACTCACTACTACATTTCATCAAAACATTTCTTTGTGTCCACCACTTTACGTTACAAGGTCACGTGACACTGTGGTCTGACCGCGTTCTCGCTCCGCCATTGATGAGGGCAAATTTCGACTTTAAAAACTTAATAGCTTGAAAACTACATAACGTATTTAACAAATTTAAACGGTTTTAGAATCAGCACGGGAACCTTCATTATTGGTCAAAAACTCGTTTTTCACTTCAGTTCCCCTATAAATGTAACTGTCTATTTTGAAAAAGCACCTCATCAGACTGCAATAAGGTATTTTTGAAAAATTTATTTATCATTTCTGGACCTATGTCAATAAAAGCTTTAGAAAATTAAGCTTAAATTACACTGAATGTGACTCTGGCACACCCTTTGTACAAAGGATTTAAAAAATCGACCTTACTGATTTGTTCAACTTTCCTGCCAAGAATATGCCTGATTTTGAGCTCTACAGATCTGATTATACTTATTTTCATTTGTGCTTGTACTTACTGTGATGAAGCCCTGTATGCCAGGGCGAGAAAATTGCTGTCACATTTATTTCATTTTAGAATTCTATTCTACAACACATTGGATTCTCATTGTTTTTTGCTTTGTCCTGTCCTGTCCATTACCTTTTATCGTAATTCATTGCAAGATTCAAAGAATCCAATGGACAACTTATCCTCCTTGTCTTCCTTCTTACATACTTTTTGCTTCCCTATCCGTTTATAAATAGACTTAAGTTTGTGAATACCATAACACAAAGTGCCCAACATGCAAAAAATTTACAGCAAATAATCTGAAGAGAAGAGAAATGGGCGATGTGGCCATAATTGCCAAAAATGGAAAAAATCTTTTTCTTGGATAAAAATTATTCACTGAGAGTGGTTGAGAGCTTGTTGGAATCGTAATTTGATTCTCTACACAATTAAAAAAACATTTTTTTGAAAACCAGTTTTCTGGGGGTCTGGGCTAAATTCCCTTATTCAAGCATATTCATGAACTGTTTCTACCATAACTTTGTAAAAAATTATCGCCTGATAGTGATTAAGGGCTCTTTTGAAGCAAAATTTAATGCTCCAACTAGTTAAAAGAAAATCGTTTTAACTTGATGGGGTCAATTGATGTTTCAATCATAACAAGATGATACAGCAGTTGCATAACCATAAGAAATGTCAATCTCATCATCTCAACTTGTTTGATTTTGTGATTCTCTGCACCCAATTGTTGAAATGATTTTTTTATGTTTCACTCATGAACAGAATTCAGATATTTTTCATGATTTGTTAATTGGTATATGATAATTGAAATAGACATTTTAAAATTGAAAATGAGTGGTTATGTATATGTGCACTTTATGAAACACTTAGTTGCTGGTCAATAAACAGAATCTTTGCATCCTTGCATGGCTGACTTATTTTTGTGCAACAGTGAGTGGAAGGAAGTTTTTGAAAAATGTGTAACTAGGGTTAAACAATGAAATGGGAATGTGAAAAAGTGCTAAACCAATCATTTTTGGACTGAAAGCATCATTTATGAAATTTATGCATACGGCCTTGAAACATGTATATAATTTTGTGCCATTGTGGTCATTTTTGGTTTATGCAACATAACTATTTGTATGTCTATTAACAGCAATCACCAACTGGAATGCATTCAAACTGGAGTGGAAGCCGAGACAATGTGAGAAAGATTGTTGAAAAGGAGGGTAGAATTGCAAGGAATCTTATTACTTGGTCTGTTCCTATTGCCCAGCAAAGAAGCCAAAGTATGTTTGGAGTTTTCATCCTATAGTATTTGTTTTAGTTAATTTGTTAATTAGTTGATTATAATATTTAGGGTGGTGACATGAAACCCAAGTGCAAGCTGTGTTCTTGTGAGGAATGCAAGACTAGGTCAATCTGACCATAGAAGGGTTGGTACAAGTTGTGGAACAAGGAATCATTTAGCGAGTTATGCCTGATTTGGGGCTCTAATCTCAAATCTTTGATATTGAATGCCTGTGTGTGCTAACTGAGCAATTACAATCTTTTCAAATTTTTAGTAATTCTTTGTACTATCTTTATTTGTTTGCTGCACAGCAAGAGCTTCACATTTTATGTTTTTGTTCCTGTCTGCATCTGCTAATATTTGTTCCCATTAAGCTATTCACCCAAAACAATTTTGGCAGTTCTGTCAATTGGTGAATCCTAACGCACCATAGGACAACAAAAAATGCTTACTTTAAGATCAAGCCAATGATGCGCAGCTTCTGGAAGCCAAATCTCCAAAATTATGTTGTTCAAATACAGTCCTAGGAAGATCAAAACAATGGTCAAATATCTGACTCATGCATGTAATTAATTGCTAAGTACATCATTTGCTCCATGTGTATGGTAACAATTATCCGATTCATTATTTCTACGGTTCATATATGGCATAAAGTCTTGGCTACAGAATTTTCTAATCATCGACTACAATTTGTGGACATTATTTCTACTAGACCTGGTTACATATGCCTGTATAAATTTGATTGTAGAATTTATATGGTATTTTGGTGTCTGCACCTATTGACCCCAGCTCCTTATGTAACATACCTCCTTTTTTAGATGAAGACCAGAACCAGAGAGGAAAGAAAAAGTACAGAGGGCGAAACAGAGGGCCAAGAAATCAAAACAGATATGAAATGAATGATCATCAAGATGTACATTCAAATAGGGAGTTGGCACCTCCTAACCATCAAGTTAGTCATACTCAGCCAACCAACATAATAAACCAAAATCTTGTGGTGAACAGAGAGACAAAATCAGAGGAGTATAGAGAACACATCAAGAATGTGATAGAAAATGGAATACCAGAAATTAGGAGACCCAGCTCTGCCCAAGGAAGTAAAAGAGATAATCTTAGGGCACGATATTGGTCATATCTGTTTGATAATTTACAGAGAGCTGTTGATGAAATATATAAGACCTGTGATAATGATGAAAGCACAGTAGAATGTGAAGTAAGTTAAATCAAACTTTGTTTGAATTTCTTTTCATTTTTTATCACTTTTGCCTATGAGTCATTCCGCCCCGAAATTATCTCAGCCAATATGTAACCAATGGCCTTTGAATTTTTTTCTTTTTGTTTGACACATGAAAACTCCCTTGATAAATATATTTTGATATTAATTTTTTAAAAACTGGTTTTTACTGATGCCGTTTGTTTGACTGGTATGTAGTGAAATGTTTGGAGTTGGTTTGTTAGATATTGTTAGATGATTTCCATTGACATACCCAAAAAAACATTTTCAAATTGATATCACAGTACTTATTCTCAAATACCCAAGCAAAATGCTTATTCCTTGAAGGCTCTGTGCAATTTCTATGCATTTCTGTGGCAAAGGAAGAGCTTTCTCTAATATCTCATTTGTCAGATTTAGAACTAAATGTTTTCTTTTTTTTCGAAAAGTGAGTTTGAATTGGACAATGCTACATGGTGTTTGTAATGTTTCTAAACGTTAATTATTATATGTTTGTCACTTTCACTGTTAAAACTGGTTATATTCTTTACATTTTCTGTTAAAAATTATAAAAGTTAAAAAAAAAAAATGTACATTCCAATGATACAAGCTTCTCGTGCTAGGTTTCTAGCTACATGATTTTTTCTTAATGATTTATCCTCCAATTGAAAAACTGGAGGACTCTTATGCATAGATTGACTACTAAGCCTTCTGCTCATGCAATTTCATCTGCTCATTAATCGAATTTCTCTTCTGTTTTCTCTCTTGAAGTGTTGACAAAGACTGAGCTTAATTTCTTTTGTTACTGTAGTTCGTAAATTTATCAGCCTCACAGCTTTGAGCCTATTTGCGATCTCATATATTTATAATATGAATATTCTTGCTGTTTAACATATTTTGCAAACCATGTTTCACCTTTCACATAGGAAGTAATAATGATGCTTGATAGCTGCAAGAAGGACTTTGTAGCACTGATAGATCGAATAAAGATATTTAAAGAGATTGAGAACAAGGATTTGAAGAACAGGTGATGTCTACTACTCGTAATTTTGCCTGCCACAATTACACAAATGCAAATCGCTGATTCATGAATTAGATATTTAGCCTTCTTGGTTTTGAAGATATTTGCAATCAATTACTTTAATTCGTATCCATACCTGGAAATGTTATACTTGAACTCAATTTTCACTAACTTTTAAGAGAAGCAACGTTCTGCAACTATCCAATTCTTTTTTCTCGTGATTTTGCGAATTGGAATACTGATGATTATCACTTTATCGAAAGAATTTTATACTTTATCAAGGCTGATTTTAATTCTTAACTTACTGGTAGCCATTTATTAAGTTTTTATTTTAAATCTCTGAAAGAACTGATTTATTCCTTATTTCTGTTTACTTTTTTTGCTCATTAATTGTTTCGGGATTTTCCTTAGGCCACAAAGCCTGGCTTGGGAAGTTCGGAAAATGTCACCAGGAAAGTGTATCAGCCCTCCCCCTGCAGTGATTATGGTCGGAAGGCACAGCCCAATATTCAATGCACAAAAAAGCTTGAACTTTGGAAACTTTTCTCTCGTTCAAAAAGATTGCTCACCGAGTGCTGGTCTGTCATGGGCTGACAAAGTGAAGGGTCTAAAAGCAACGCCATCTGGATCTCCAAAATCTGATCAACAAGAAGGCGGTATTTTTACAAGTGAAAAAATACAAGACACAAAAGAAGGACCAATGGTATCATTTGAAGCGAAACCAAGCACAAAAAGTGTAGTCACAGGAATAGAGGAGGATGGAGACGATGAAGGATGGGAAATTGTTGGGAAAGGAAAACATAGGTCGCGAGGTTCATCGTCTGTTAGCATTAAAACATCAGCTTCACAAGACTCTATTGAAATTCTAAGTGTAAAAATTGATGAGCAATTCAGCAGTCATACAAGCTTGTCCAGTAATGAAAGACTTATCGGAACTGGAAGCAGTGCGTTTGAAAAAGTAGAGAAGTCTCCTAAATCAGGATCAGCTTCAGCAGAAAGGATTCATCTGAGAGATGATAGCCATAAGAAGATAGCAGAAGAAGTTAAAAGTAACTTTGGATTGCCGTTTAATGATGGATTGGCCAGCAGGAAGATTGGGACAAACGAGGAATCCCTCGACGAAACAACTGAAGACAGTGCTCTGCAAATTGGCCTTTCTGATACTGGGAATTTTGAAGAGCTGTTGTTAGAAGATGAAATAGACAGCTTTATAGAAACGGCTGAACAGCAAGAAGAGGACTTGATAAGTAGGCAGATGGAAGAAGAGAATAAAAAGGCGCTAGCTTCAGCAATTGAAGAAGAAGAACATTTAACAAAAGAGTTGGAAGATGAAGCACTGAAGAACATGGAGGATGAATTAACTGAAGACGTGAGCAGCGACAAGGAGGGAAATAACACTGATGAGGGTATTGAAACGCCGAGAGATCGCAGCGATGCAGAACAAGCGGTGAGTATAAAACTAATGTTATCATGTGGGTAATGTTGATATTTAAACATACTTTATTCTTCGTCTTACCTGTGAAGCATTTTTTGATTGATCGGATTCAGTGAAAGAAGATCTCTTTTCACATGGAGTAAGGGAATCATAACAATGCGGCCATTATATTGTCAAAAAAGTGCAAATGATACAAAATTACAAGAAAATAGCTTTGACAATAGAGGAGATTTTAGAAAAATCCTCTTTAACCTTTCTGAGGCCTTTCTGTTGTGACCTTTCAGGAAAATCCCAGCAAAACCATGACGTGGGAGGAGATTCTGGCTCAGTATGAGAATGAGCAAAATGAAAAGCAAGATGAATGGGCAGATTTATCTGAGGGTGAGCCGGCAAGGCCGCCAGGAAGAGCGCTTGAAATGCACCAACGACTGTCTTCGCCGTCAAGAACAAGGCCAAGAGCGGAGTCTGTGAGAATCTCCGAGGAACGAATGGTAGGCTAATTGCTCTTAAGCCCTTTTCAGCAAATTCTCAATTCTTTGAGTGTTAAAATTTCTGATCGCACCTATGTTCTTCTTTATAGATCATCGTAACAAAGTTACAAATTTGGACCAATTTTTACCTATTTATTATAATGTTTTTAGCCAATATATATCTTTGTTGAAGCCAATTTCATAAAATGGATAGACAACATTCTTAAATTGTTTTGTTTATATTAATCTGTGCTGAAAAGACAGAGCAAAGTATGTCTATAGTCCTAAAGTAACTGAAGGCAACGAATAAAAATCAGTATTTTTGTTGTGGGTTTCCTGTCTAGCTAAAGATGTTAATTGATTATTAATGCCACTTTCAATTATTTTCAAGCGTCGGCAACTTCCTCTATTAGGAAAATTGAGCTGTTCATTGGAGAATACGTTTAAAGAAATATTTATTCATTAGGTCAAAGCCGAGCGAAAGAGATTAAAACTGTTGGAGGCAAAATGTGCTCGACTGAGAGTGTTGTCAGAAAACGTGAGTTCTTCCTGCTAATTTCCTGTCGGATCGATTATTACATCTGTAGATGCGACAATGAATTTTATTTTCTAGTGTGATCTTTTTCTGTGATAAACATGCCGATGACAGTGTCGGAAGGTTCCTTTGACGTGTTTGTGCTATTTTTGATGTGCAAGAAGGTTAATATACCAACTCTCTGCGGCGTTGCTCTAAATTTTGCAATTTTGAAGATATGAAGACAGAGAAAAGAAGCTTTTAAACAAACATAACTGAACTATACTTGCTTTAATTCCTCCTCAAGTCTACACTTGCCTCAATTCCTCCTGTCTCTCTAGCAAACGCAGATCTTAAAATCATCGGCGTGTCTGAATTCTTACAATACAAAAATTATACGGGTGCTAATCCCGGGGTTGTCTTAGAAACACTATCTTATGTTTTCAATCCAAAAATTTTCATAAAGAATCTTGAAATTAATCTTGAAAATAAAGATATTTCAGATAAAATTTTGTTCTCTCTGATTCCAAGTGCAAAATCCTGTCCATGCACATATCCCCTGGATAGGAAATGACTTTTGTGGCACTTCATCAGCCTTCAAGATATGGTTTGCTTGTTTCTAGATGGCTGCTTTTGTTGCAGGTAAGAAAAGTCAGAGCATTGAAGAACAAGATCATAAATAACCAACAAGACATCCTTGTAGAAAAGATGACAAAAGCAGAGCACAAGCGACAATTAATGCTGAAAGAGAAGATAAAAAAGGCGCAAGTAGAGGAAGCGAAGGTATCGTGTCGCAAATACTGGTTAATTATCTTTTATATAAACTAATATTAGTTCTGAAGATGGAAACAGGTAAAGAGAGTATTGTTTAGTTCCGTTGCTGTAAAATTGCTGTTTTATTTCTTCTAAAATCTGCAACCCTGTTAAGAATATTTTAAGAGCTGTCTAACCAAAGCCAGTTTGTTTATTGAAGTAAAGTGGCAATGAGATAAGCTTGTAGTAATTCTTAGAATTTTACTGTAATCTCGTTCACTCTCTGCTACTGACTTATGCTAAATGCAGGTTTATTGAGTAAACAATGACAATGCTATCAATATCTTGAGACATATAATTCAAAAGCGATAAGTGAAAACAAATAACCTGTTGTAAAATGAACTACAATGTCCTTCAGTAATATCTAACAAACCAACACCTTCAGCATTTGTTTTTGTCCAGACGTAGTATATCTAGCCATCAAATTGATCTTCTTTTTTCGGGAAGTCATGTTTTATGATCTGAAATGCTTCTCTCAATATTTTGAAGCATTGTTTTGAAGCATATTATTGAATTGATGGGTCGGGGAGGGGAGGGAGGGTGGAGTGATCTCGTCCTACTATTCAGAATATAGGCTGGTTCCTTGGCCTGTGTACTTTAGCAGGACATGCAAATAGTCATGCAGGACCAACATCTTTTTATAGAGCCTCTTTCACCTATAGCTAAAACCTTTCCTGTAGCTATTTTTGATGTTCTATCTTTTCTCGGATGTATTTGTAGGTGAATGAAATTGCATTTATAAACAGTCTGGAAGCGCAGAACAAGAAAATTGAAGTTCAAGAAAAACATCAGGTGTCAACATTTCTTTTCTTCTACAAGTTCTACAATTTAGCAAATCATCTTACGATTGTGCAATTATATATGCATATTATTCTGGTCTGTTTCTCATTCGTGATAGTTGATCTTTTCGTTTTCGCAGTTTATGGAGGCCCGTTTACAAGATATAATGGTAAGTTCAATACCTCTTCATATAAAATGAAACTCCATACAGTTTATACCTTTCGTTTGGCTGCTCAAATCCCTGAAGTCAGAACGTTTAAACAGCTTGAGCATGGCCCATTTTCAATAAAAAGAGTCAACCAAGATTCTTTTAAACGGTCGTAAAAACCGTTTATTTTTCTTTAAAAAATCCCCCTTCAGGTTTGTTTTCTTTAGAGAATCGTAGTTTGTGTCTCCTTGGAAGTGACCGTAGCCTATCCTGTGTTCTTCATTCGATGCAATTTTTTGCACTTCATCGGGATATTAACTGCTGCTTCTCTTTGGTATTTCATACTTATTATAAAGTTTGATAATACGAAGTTCAAGGGCGGATACAGAGCAACTTGAAGGAGGGGCGGTTGGTAGGGGGGGCTCTGAAAATATTTTCAGAAATTGGTGACGAGTGTACGCTGTATACAACAATTTCAGTCCCTTACTACTGACAGAAGGCTTTCTATTCACTTTTTAAGGAAATTTTCACAATAACTGTTGTATACTTTGAGCCAATCCTTGAAGTAGAATAACCTATAAGTCTCAAAAACTTTTTCACTTGATTATCATTCTTGAAAAGGGGCGCACATTTTCCAAAAAGGGGCGCCACACTTCCTTCAACTCGGCGAGGGAGGGGCAACTGCCCCTAGTTGCCCCCCCCCCTTCAATCCACCACTGACGAAGTTATATACAATTTTTTTTGAGCTGCTAAATGTAACTTTGATTATTATGGCACGTTTTGCATTCATGCATGTAAGTTGTCTGTTACATCACAGGAAGAAAGACAGCGGAAAAGAGAAGGACAGCAGGCGAAAGAAGAAGCTGCTCAGGTACAGCATGCGTAAAATTTCGTCAAAGTAGGACCCAGAAGCTTAAATAGAATTCGGTTTTTCAAGGAAGCCTTGATTTTAGCAAGTGTTGAATTATGTGTCTGTTTTTTAATAACCCGTCATTTTTCAATTTTTCCAGCTCTTAATAACTAACATCAAAAAGCATAAGTCATACATGGTCATCCTTTTTCAATGGAAGTGACTTACGTTGCCTCATCTCCACTTTTTATGATTTGTAGATATTTTACTAATGAAAAATAGCGCATTGAAAAAGTATTGAAGGTGCAAAAACATTGAAAAGGTGCAAAAACGGGGCGTTTCTATGGTATAAAATTAGGCGTGATTATATAATTTTTCCTTACTCTACACCCATTCATCTCTCACTCTACAGCTAGCTGAATTTTTTAATATGAAGCTTTTTATTTTATCCCACTGTTTGATTCTTATCACAACTTTTTCATTGTTCATAGTACTTCATAATATTACCATCTCTATTTTAGTTTTTGCTTGAAAGTGATCATGATTTTACATTCATCATTTCAAATATTTACATTTAGAGTATCCTTTGATCGGCGCTGTTACCGCTAGGTACTTGTTCTTGTCCCTCGTATCAATGGTGAATCTACTTGTACTAACTGAAAAGGCAAAACCATGTTCAAATCGAAGTTGTATAATGAAAGAAGCAAGTGCTATTTTTGTCTGCTAAGAAGCTAAAACAGTATATAATTTTTTGAAGGAACGCCGCAGAGCACTGGAGGCGGAAAGACGAGCAAGGCTGGAAGAAATCAAACTGAAGCGATTGGAACAGGCAAGTTTCCATTCAAGTCAGTGAAGTCATCCCGTATAAAAATGGAAAAATTTGATCACCGATAATTTGCTTAGACATGGTACTTTAAGAAATTTAAATCAGTGATAACATTGAGTTAGAAAAAATTCAATAAATCTTGAAAGAATGATGTGATAAAGAGTTGTGGGGAAAATAATTTTGCTTAATTCTTTCTAATGCCAGGAAATCAAAAGAAAGAAAGAGAAACAAGAAAGAGAAAGGGCAAGAGAAGAGGCAATCAAAGAAAGACAAAGGTATTTTGCATTATTTTTAAAGTACTGCAAGCTCCTCGATTGTTCATTCATTAGACCAAGAAATACGCTATTGTGTTATGATGCAGATCAATTGTAGTGTAGAATAGCATTTTTTCACTCTGCAACACGTTTTTTATTCTGCTATTTAGTTATCCGATTGATTTTGCTGTTGATATCTATTAGCAATTGTTAATATCTCAAGTGTATTTTACGTGTTACTTAATCAAGAATTTCAGTTTTTAGTTTGATTGTGTAATGCTATGTAGGTAAAAAGTAATCAGAATTTTGCCATGGCTCACAGGGACAGAGAAATGAAGGTGGCTGCAAGAAACGAAGCTTTAGAAAAGGCAGCAGAGGAACTCCAAAAGAAGATCGAGCTTAAGGTAATCACAATATGCTCATTCTTTCTCTATTGTCGTAACTTTTTTATATTGCATGGCTGTGATTGAAGTGAAGGAATAAGAGTAACAGTGAAAACAATCCACTGTGTCATTTTTTGTGTACCGGTTCGCAGCATTAAGATAAAATAAGAATTTGTTTTACATTTCCTGATTTTGCTAATGGCATGTGTTATACTAATGTCATTTACGTCAATCTGCTCATGCGTCAGACTTCATACTGAGACTTGAGAGTCTTTTAAACATAAGATTGCTGATTCCAGTAGCAGAAAGGAGAGCTTGGAGTCTGAAGCCAATGAGTAACTCAGCTGTGTTCAAGGACTTTGTTGATGGCTTTTCAGCAAGGACTCTAATTACCTTTTGTTGCTTCATGACCACCTCCACCATATGTTGTAAATACAAGTGGGCTCTGGTTGAAGTTGCCTGTATCGCTTTGATGATTGCATGATAAAAGGCTTTTCTCAGAATGCTTGTCACTAATATCCTTGGCACAAATATGACTAAATGTAGTGCGAAGCAATGTCACATTGATGGTAACGTAGTCTTAATGAAGTCATTTGACGTTTGTTTCTTAACACACTTCCCCTGCTAATGATGATGTTCCCCTGCTAATGGTACCTTGATCTTTTATTAAGCATCTGAACTATTTCAACATTTTCAGCAACTAGAGTCATCAAGGAGGCATGAAGAGAGGATTGAACTAGTCAAAGAAAAGGTTCATTTATATGTTTCTTCGTTTCTAAAGCGTTCTTCATCAAAATAGTTTTTGCTCTGTTCGTAGCTGGCTTTCCTAATATATTTGAATATCCACGAATATATTTGAATATTCACGAATATATTTGAATATTTGCGAATATATTTGAATATTTATGTATATTTGAAAACTCTGTAATCAATATGTAGGCGTATTTCACGGTATTGGTCGCAATCAATCATCGAGTTATTCCTATCTTTATCCCCTTTTCCGCAGCACAGGTGTCTTTTTATCAAGTTGTATCTTTATAGAATTCCTTGATACAAGTTATTTTTAAAATCATTTATCAGTTATATCAGTTTAAGTCATAACAAAAAGACTTTAAAGTTATCCATAACTTCTTATTTACGTGGATTTAAGATGTATAGCAAATGTGGCGTTTCCTCTTTGAAGGCTGCTAGCTCATCGCGACACACCACTGTTGAAGAAGCCCCCAGCATCGTACCATATGAAAGAAAAAAGCAATGCACTTTATGCAACGTTGAGGTTCGAAGATTTATTCTTTCTGTGCTGTCTCATTTTTTTCTGTCAATATGTTAGATTTCAATATGTAGCCCGCTCACATGTTGTTTTTTTCTGTGTTATAATGAAATACACATACATTATCTTGCATATTTTATCTGCTGATGCAGCTTCAGTTTTATTAGCTCAAATAAAACTAGTTTTAAAAATAGCTTTGCAAGTATTGATGCAAATTTTGTTTTTAGATTTTATCAGAGGTGTTTCTGGTCAGTCATTTGAAGGGAGGAAAACATCGCGAGTCGGTGAAAGAAATAAACAAAAAGATCACTGAAATTGATATGGTTTGTATCTCGGATGTATCTTCTTATCTTTTTTGTCTGAACTTCATATATCAACTGTCATTTACACCATTTTGAAGCTATTCTCTTTATGAAAGCCATTACTTCACACTACAAATATATTGGTGCAATTAACTTCCTGTATGGATTACTATCTATGCAAACGATCCACCGCATAATTTTCATCGAGGCTGTTTTGTCTGCATTGGAAATCGAATTGATAATTCATAATTCTGCAGTTATAACTATTTGATATAATGGATACACTATGCGACCTGATGTTTGCAAGCAATGCGACATCCATGTTGATTTACTTTTGTGCAGCTCTAAGGAATTCTTCAACAAGTGAGACATAGTCATGAATTTTTTATTAAAATTTCTTGAGGGCTTTTTAAAGATAATGTTTATGAATGTATGACAAGGTAAACCTTGTGCCATCCTTTACAATTCACAAATTTTCAAGACTTTTCATTGGCATGAATCTATTTTCTTCTTTCCAATGACCAGGAGGGGTTTTCTATGAAGTATATCAAAGACATGGAAGACACATCTGACACCAAACAAAAAGAAATAGAAGAAAATCTGAAGTCAACGAAAAAGAGACTAAAGAAAATCAAATCCAGAATGAATCAAAGGTATATCAATGCTCATCTTCTACTGCCTTGAGTCCCTTGCGTTGGGAATCTAAGCAACGTGCTTATTGTCAGTATTTTTGACGACATAAATTCATGTCAATGTGAGTAGTTTCTCGTTCAATATAATCTACCTCTCTATTCGTTTTAGGGGGAGAGAATACGAAGCCTCTCTTTCAAACGAGACAAAGTCCGAGGAATCCCCTAAACGAGCAAGGTAATTAACGACAATATTCGCATTAACCAAATAGATAAAACAATTTTTCTCACACGTTGTGGTAAAGCAAACAAAACCTTTCTGAAATTAGTAAGATTTAATATTCAGTTACGCAAGTTCATTGATGCCAATTTTCTCTTTTTCCATTGCTACTATACGCCAAATGAATTTGCATTTCAGATTGTTTCGTTTTTCGTTAAGTGAGGTTCATAATTTTTATAGTACTAGGGTTACTATTCCTTTAATTTTAGTTTCTCGATTTTTAATTAAAGTGCCATTGACAAACAGCTTAATTCAGTGAGGAGCTTTTTAGATCATAAGTGACGAGTTAAAATTCCGTGAGTTTCAATAGAAGAAAACGTCCGTATGTTAAATTGGCACTTCTGATAACAATCTAATCTTATATTTTTTCAGTGTAGATATGCAATCAATCTTTAAATTCTGATGAACATTTTCCCTTTTCACAAAATCAATGTACCTTGCATTCAATCATTTCAATTCGTTAGAGAACGTAGGTATTGATTTTCACTTCAGCCGACAGATTTACAAAAAAATATCTGTTCTCTTTTTTAAGCAATTTCCAGATAAATAATTCCATTCATAAAATGATGGCATCGGTAGGACAGCCCCTCCATACCAACTTATACATAGCATCCTGTTGAGTGTTTTGCTAGTTGTTCATTGGCAAAAATTCCCCATCTACAAAAGATTTTCCAATCATAACAGATACGAGGAAAGTTCTACAAAACAAGAGCAAAAATGGGAAAAAAATCATTATAAAGGTTCATTTTAAAGTAAATAGGAGAATGATTTAGCTCATTCAAATCTATGTCCAGTATTCTACCACTGCATTAGCCTTGTCTATGGTTAGATTAAGCTGCAAATCATATAAGATGGCAGAAGCTATCCAGGATAAATTACTTACTGATAACAATCATTTGACGTCCATGATGGCTTATGGAGGCTCGATGGAAAGTCATTCTATGTAAACCATGGTTAATAGTCTTCTAGCAAAATGGCCTGCCTAAGCTGCTCCTTTAAATCGTCGTTATGCAAAAACCAGGTTGACAGCATCAAGACAGCGTTTTTGCATATCCTATTTTATCTTTTTCAAATAAATTGTAAAGCTGTGAATTGTTTTTTCTGTAAGAACTGTCAACCTAGATATTTTCTGGATTATCGGATCAATGAATGGCTCCTTGATGTATCCAAATATTTCCCTCTTTCAAATAAAACATGAAGCTGTGGATTATTTTTCTGAAAGAACTCTCAGCCTAGATATTTTCAGGATTATCGGCTGGTCTGGACAATGAATGGCTCCTCGATGTTTCCAGACATTTTAAAAGGAATGTCTCTACCTATTCAATTTTTTGTTTGCAAACTCAAAACATTTTGAAAGAAGTTGAATTACCTCATCTATCATTTCATAAGTTCGTGCATGATAAATGAGTATTTCTGCGATAGGGTTGTGGCTGCTCATCTCTTAATACAAACAAGATATTAATAAGGTTTATTTTGTTATGAAGTACCTTAGATGATTTAATTTACAGTTTATAGATATGAAGGAACAAAGTTTGTAAAAATATCGCCAAGGACATGATTTGTCATTGGTCCTCGCTATTATGTGATTCAGCAGGGCTCAATCATTTGGGAAATTTGCAACATTTTTTTTTTAAATTTTTCTCTTATGTGGACTTAATGGCTTTTAAGAATAAGATTTTGGTTATTATATTCGAATGGGAAAATTGTAAACAATGTCTTAATAATTGTGAAAAATTGTTTTTCCGTTAGATAAAGATCTTGATTTGGTGCAGTCTAAAACATAAGCGTTCATTTTAACTGAAACTAGAATTTCAAAGGCTTTTGGCTGTTGTATTTAGAATATGATTTTGGTTCTTGTATTCAAAACTTTTGGAAAAATTGTAAACAACGTCTGAATAATTGTGAAAAATTGCTTTTCCGTTAGATAAAGATCTTGATTTGGTGCTGTCTAAAACATAAGCGTTCATTTTAACTGAAACTAGAATTTCAAAGGCTTTTGGCTGTTGTATTTAGAATATGATTTTGGTTCTTGTATTCAAAACTTTTGGAAAAATTGTAAACAACGTCTGAATAATTGTGAAAAATTGCTTTTCCGTTAGATAAAGATCTTGAAAAACATAAGCGTTCATTTTAACTGAAACTAGAATTTCAAAGGCTTTTGGCTGTTGTATTTAGAATATGATTTTGGTTCTTGTATTCAAAACTTTTGGAAAAATTGTAAACAACGTCTGAATAATTGTGAAAAATTGCTTTTCCGTTAGATAAAGATCTTGATTTGGTGCTGTCTAAAACATAAGCGTTCATTTTAACTGAAACTAGAATTTCAAAGGCTTTTGGCTGTTGTATTTAGAATATGATTTTGGTTCTTGTATTCAAAACTTTTGGAAAAATTGTAAACAACGTCTGAATAATTGTGAAAAATTGCTTTTCCGTTAGATAAAGATCTTGATTTGGTGCTGTCTAAAACATAAGCGTTCATTTTAATTGAAACTATAATTTCAGGGGCTTGAAGGCCTGTTCTCCATAGTCTGTCTTCTTCCTGTGGACGAGATTTGAAAAATGATTTTACGAAACTGCATGGACTGCATTTTGTTTTTCCCATCCCTTCATGTTTGTTATTACCATTTTAAGTTACAAAAGGAAATGAAGTAGATGCATCATGATTTGTGTTAGTGGACTGAACAAACTCTGCTTGAATCGAATGATTTATACTTTTCGTTCACTATAGACTGCAACGGTCGCTGAAAGAAATAAACAAACTTCTCCAAACGCAAGGAAACACGTTCTGGCCTGCGAACAAAGTTACTTCTCTAGATAGAGCATTGATTGAAATTACGAAACTTCTAGAGGGCAAGGTTAGTAGCAGCAACTATTGAAACTTAGATAGATACGAGGACGCTTTCTGGATTAAATACAAGTTGGATACACGATATAATCTAAAAGGCTGTAGAGGTTCTGCTGTTTCTTATTGGAGCCTGTTTCTTCTTGGTGTCTTCCCATGCCACTTTTCTGCAACTATTTCTTTTATAGTACATGCCGTTTTAATTTTTTCTAGGAACAGACGGATCAGAGGGTGTTCTGCAATATTGGCGGAATTGCTGTACTAACAAGGATCCTGCTTCTAGTCGACCTCTCAGTGGACATACTGACTACAAAACCAGTCATCACAGACAAGTAAGCAGATAGCCATGCTTGCATAAAGTCTCAATTTATCTTAGCCTTTTTTTTAATAGTTTTGCTTTGAACATACTTGGGTAAATTGAAAAGAATAGGCCTAAGAGGGATCGCAGATCTGGCGGTTTCCGAGCAATTATATTCTCAACATTTGTGACAATGTTTCTTGTACTTCTTGCAAGATGTTATTCACAATACATGACGTAATTTTTCAGAAGTTCTAACTCCTTTTCTTTGTATTTGAATGAACTATCATCGCAAATCTTTGTTATTGATTTACAAAGTAATTCATTTACCCAAGATAATTACTGAATTCATTTAAATATAGTTATCGAAATAGATTTGTGTTCATGGTGGGACGGAAACACATAAATTACTGTGTATTCATTTTCAAGCGACTTGAATTTGCTATCGCCAAGCTTGAAATCGCTTTAGTTTGTTGGGGTTTGTCGTTGGTTGGATTTCAAAAGGCAAGTGGCCGTAAAAGCACCAAAACGCCTCCAACAAAGAGTTCTCTGAGTTCGATTATGCATTAACAGATGTGCCCCACCCTTGCACCATCCCGAATTGCTTTGCAGGGAACAAAAAAAGTGATTAAGTATAAAATTATGTTGAATTTTTACTTTGTTCCTAATTTTTGTAGAAAGGGGTGATAAAAACAGATATCAACAGTAGCTCTTTTCTTTTCCAGAATATTGGTTCACACGTGTGAACTGCTATCCTTGGCTTGTCATGGAAATCCTGACAGTTGTCAATACATGTTGTTGACCAACAAACTTTCAACGATTATCGATCTTCTCAATTATCGCTCAGAAGATGTGAGTTTCTTTGCTAACCTTCAAGTTCATTGATTGTGTTTACTCAAGGGCAAAGGATATTTTCTGTTTTCCCAGCTCATTATTACAGGAGTGGTAACAGCTCATCAAAACCCTTTGCCAAGCTTATAAAAATTCTAAACGCTAGTTTCTCAATGATTTCCTCCGTAAGATTATCTCCTAGTAGTTTCACCCCCTTTCCATATTGAAGTACAAGTTGAAATACTCCGTCTGTATGAAGTACGTCTTCTGTATGACAACGAAAATTTGTTCCTTGGCGTTAATTGAAAGATCAATCGAGGATACCCTTAAACTCATTTTGTAACCAAATACTTTCAAATTCTTTTTAAACCCTTCTGTAAGAACCCCAGTTCTTATTTCCACCATCTGTTTGTATTTAGCATTTTCTAATCGTGTGTGTACCTATTTGTAATTCTTCAGTATTATTTGTAGTTTATTTAAAAGTTTTTTAGTAGCAAATCTTTATGTAATTACCAAGAGGTAGTCTTTGCTCTTTGCTCCGCATAATAGCCCCTGCTGTAAAGTTGTAATGTAAATCGAGTAAAATAGAAGTTAGATGGTATTGAAATATTTCATATGAAGAATATAAGAAGATACGAATGACGTACGGACTTAGTAGTCTTAGAAATTTTTGGTTAAATTATCGACCATGTTCTTCCGTTATTTTTACCTCGTTATCCGTTGAAATTTCATACTTTCAGAGCTATTTCATTTTATTCAAAATGCAAGCCAATTTCTTCCTCACATTACTCTTCATTTCAGGTACCAATTAAAGATACTCAAGGCCAACAAGTTGAGGGGAACCTATCCACTATTATCAAGCCTATGAGCAACGATCTATTGGTTCTAACTTTACTTGAAACTTTGACCACAATAACCCGGATGTTGAACGTAAGCCAAGGTGAAAAGGCACAGAAAGGAGTTGGCGATAATGCCCAGCGGGTCAGCGACCTAGTCAGCTACTTTGTCTGCTGCGGAGCACTTGGAAAATATTACAAAATGTTTCAATGCCTTCAAGAACCCTTGGAAGATACCTCGTTGCTTACGTTTTATCAAAGAGTTATCGAAATGCTTCAAGGGATCGTCCTAGCTCTTGCAAGGTAAATATGATCCCGTTTCTCTGCTCTGCTCTCGAGTTTTTACGTACTTTTTTTACAAATTGAGCAGTCTCTACGTGCAATATGTGGGTTCAAATGTAGGTTTCATCAAATTGTTGGAATTGATCAATTCATAGTTGCTTCAAGTGTTATGCCAAAGTGTTTATAGATGCTTTTCCAGCATGACAATGGTGTCCTTATCTATTTTTATACGCAGTCCGTATTTGTATTCTACATCGCAGTCCAGAAGTTGATCGTAATAGCATCAACCTGTTATTTTATATAAGCCTGTGACTTCCAAATTTGGTTCCTTTATATCTCCCAACCTGTTACTGCTAGAGTTATTGCTCTGAATAAACGTTGGCGCTTTTTCGGTGATTGTATTTGACTCCACTTTATCCAGTGCTTGAACGCTTCTCTTTTACGCTGTGACTTTATTGCACGAAAATCTATTCGAATTTTAGGCTTGATGGAATTTTCAGTGGAAAGAAGAGCGATGCTACAGGCCTTCTTCAGTTTTTCAAAAGCACCCATCTTCTTGGTGAGTCCTTTTTGTCAGTATCAAAAATAATCTTTCGAATTGCCAACCTATCCTGTGTTAAGTAGATCATCAGTAAGGAATAAACAAACTGCCGTGAACAGATTACCATCCTTTCCTGCTTCAGATCTCATTTATTTTCACAAATGCAGCATCTCGTAATCTCTTTACAAGCAGGAGTGGAATTACGTCTGCAGTATACTGCAACTTGCCAGAGCAGAATAATTGTACATGTAGCCAGCCTGTTATATCGTTTGAGTTTGCAATTTAATCATCTTGATTGAATCTATTTATGTTAATTTATCAATTAAGTCCAAAGCTGATTAAACGTTTTTTATCACAGGTCTTCTGTCTTTGATGTACGCGCTCCTTCATAGCAGTGGATCAGCAAGAGTGTCTCCCAGCCCATTTCCCCTGTCTGACGTCACCGTGGCAATTTTAACAGCAGTTCTCCGTCTGATCAATCTGGTTGCGTTTGTGGACGTTAAACTACTTCAAGTAAAGTATCCCACCAGTCTGATACTCAACTTGCTTCCTGGTTGATTTTTTTGCATTTGAGGAGTTGATCTTCAGTTTTTTATCTTTGAGAAGCATCCCCTTTTTTATGAATTTGTGGCAAAGATAAAGATTCTTCTTAACCGGAGTTGTCAGGCTTTTTTTAATTTGCAGAAATTCGTTTTATTTTATACAATAATTTATCGCTTTTCGTGGATATTATGTCTTGACTTTGTTGGATTTTAGGACATTCTTGGCTCTGAAGGGAACTGTCTACAATTTAGATCAGTAGCCAACTATATTCTGAGGTAGTTAAAGCTCTCTTGATTATTTACATTTTGACGATTCTGAAGATACCTGTAAACCGGTCTTGTGAATATCGCTGGATGTCATTTAGACAGAGCTGTGCACCCTTTCATGTGTAGAACAGGATATCATTTAGCTTCAAACTCGGATTTGCAACTTTGAACCTTCCTGTACTATGCCTCATAGCGTGGATATTGAGTTTTAATATACTTCAGCATTTTATCAATAATGTCAGAAAGCGTTGGTCAGTTTGCTTTAGTTATTTGAATGAATACATTTTTTCTGCAATCAGGTGTGCTGTTATTATGTCGCTAGTTGGTTTTTGTGCATTTTCTCTATGATTCGTGATTCCAAAGGGGTAGTTATCTGCTTGAAATACCAAAATTAAAATTTATATTTCTTTGTGGCTTAATTATCGCTGTTCAGCCACAATTCTGGACGTATCTTCAAACTATTTATAGTCCTACCAACACCCTGATTTTTCTTTTGTAGGTATTGCTCCACGCAGAGCTCGGATGATCTCCTTGCTGAGTTGGTTATAGCTGTTGGGAACTTCACGGTCCTGAACAAAGAAAACCAGGTATTCCGATAAATTTATGCCTAAAAAAGCAATCAATGCCAGATGAGAAATAGAACTTTCATGTGGCGGTATTATAATCTGATCATTCGTGCCTCGTCATTTGAGTTGTGGCCTTGTCTTCACCTGGATTTATATTTACACAGCCTAAAACTTCTGTTTCAAGCATTATCTTTTTTCACGACAACCCTTATCTCTCTACGTTTCAAAGAATTTTGACGCATTTGATTTCCAAGTAACGAACTTGTTTGCCTGTGCTTAGCAGTGGCAAGATATTTTTCGGAACAAATAGGAAAAAGAGCTCAAAAAGTAATGATTTGATTTGATATTATCAGAAGAGATTCTATCTGCCTATCTTGTTTTATCGAAAAAACCTTCACCTACAGAAACTTTATCAAATTAATGACTTTGTTTTTGGCTCTACAGTAAGCTGCTTGTTGTAAGTTGTGTATAACCCATTCCATAGATTAAGCTTAGCAATCATACGTTGAGTTTTATATCAGAAAATAGTGTACAGGACATTTATATTGCACTAGCTAAATGCTCAGGCTTCCTTTTAAAAATTAGAAATCTCGATGCTGGTTTAAATGATTCATTATTTCATCAGATTCCTGCTGTAAACAACTTACATTTTTTTGCCTTTAAACTTGATCTCAAATTTGTCAAAATACAACAGTATTTATCAGTATTTTTATTGGAAATACTGAATTTTCACTGAATTTTAAATCAGATACCTTGTTTTCAGGGCTTTATTCAAACTGGACGCGCTCCAACTATACTCCAACAGCTTTGTCTGCTTCCGTTTTCCTACTTTAGTGACCCAAAGTAAGTTTTATTCTTTCAATTTTTAAACCCTGATTGTGATGTGAGGACATGATGTTTTTTAATGATATCATAACGTCACATCTGCCCTCGTTTTCATTGTACTCCATATCCGTAATGAAAAAACGACAACCGTTTTTCGCAGTGTTATCCTGATTTCCAAAGAAAGCTAGTTGTACTCAGACGTCGAAGTCACTCTTTTTGCTTCCCAGACAGATTGGACGATATATTCAAACGGTGCTTACAAAACAAACGATCTTTTATCTTCAACTTTCACAAAAGAGTTTTTGCTTTTTTGAGCTAGGCACTCAGCAAATCGTTTAAAAACCAAATATTTTCTGCTTATTGCTCTAAGATTTGCCAAGCCTTTAAGATTTGCCAAGCTAACAGCTCTAAGATTTGTCAAGCTAAGTACAACTGACTTTATTTTCTCGCATTGCGAATCATTTTATGTGAATAAAATACCCAAGCGCATTTCCAAAGCTTTGCATGTTATTGTGTACAAATTAATCGACTGTCTTTGAAAGTTAGTATTTGATCACGAATTGAGTTTTTCTAATCTCACTTCTTTTCAAAACTAATTTTTTATTTGTTTTCGTCATTACTGCCCCTTGTGATAGTGATGGGTTTTTGATGGAGTTTTCCTCTTCCTTGACCAGAGTTTGTTAGTGCAATTATTATTTGTTATAGATTAAGATGCAGTTAAGGGCTGAAGCAAGGTTTGAAGAATTAATAAAAAATGAAATATTGAAGTGATAGAACTATTATAAAAGAGCAAACTGAAAATCTAAAATTCCTTCGAAAATTCTGAAAAAAATTGGTTGATAGCTGTCACGTTTTGAAAAAGACAAATCAAAGAATAAACAATTTACAAAATCAGCGAGCAACTCATATCTTTATAAATTATGTTACTGTTTATGTTATTGATATTCATTAATAGTAATAGATATGGACATAGAATCTTCCTCTTTAAACTGTCTATTATATAATTGACTTTATATAATAAACCACGCTTTTCCCCTCTCAGGCTACAGACAATCTTACTGCCAACTTTAATAGCATGCTGTTTTGAATCGCAAGAAAACCGAATTACCATTGAACAAGAGATTAGCTGTACTTTGTTGTCAGCTTTTATTGAGGTGAGGTTTCTATTAACTAGATTTAATATCCACGGTGCTCCAGACAGTAAGAAATTGAACTAACAAAGGTGGCTGTTTGTACTGCTTTAGACTTTGATTCATTACTTGATATTATAGGAATATCTCATTAGGAATAGTAAGTTAATAGATATTCATTTATGTTCGTAATACCTCTTTTTGTTCATAATAATTTGCAGGGATAGCTTTTCATAATTTGACCAACTCTCTACTAATATTTATCTCAGCTGACACCTTTTTCACTTATCAATGGCTCTTAAAAAGGACACTGACATAAAATTAGCCACGAGTTTCAAAATAATTTCCTAAAAAAGAGATTAGGGCATTGGAAACATGAACATAAACTGGCAGCTTTTTATCTTGCTTGTCACTGTCCTGTCGTATTATTCTCACTTTTAGTGACATCCATTTTGGAGAATATTGGAGCTGATAAATTAATGCCCCAACTGTCAGCTAATACCTTGTTACACTTAGAATGCAAAAATCACAAGCTCTCCCACAGATTCATTTTATTACTCCCCTGCGGTATTCATCTTCACGCTGCACCTACTTATTCCCTTTCTTTGTTAGTTATTTTGGTACCTTAATTAAATTCGATTCATTTTTTGGCTTTACATATATGCAAACAGCTAGTCTAAATGAACAAGTAAATAACTAAAGAAATGAATACCTTAATTCATAATCCAAATGTTATATACTACATGGACATATGTGGGCATAGTATTATATATTTATATTTTCAAAAGTTTCAATTATATCTTAGCACTGCATATATTCAGACCTCATAAATCAAAGCTATAAACTGGCTTCCCAAAAAGAACAGAATGCAATTTTGGAAAAAGGCCTAATCAACTTTTCAGTGCTTTCCCTGCGACTATAAGTTGAAGTTTTTTAGCTTGTATTTTTAAACATTGTAACTAAATAGATTCTGTTGTATTTAGTTTAAAATATTTTGTTTATTGTAAATTACTCTAGTGAAAAATTGATACATAGATAAATAAACATTTCAGGACAATATAAAGAACGTCCCAAAGGATGCTGATGCCATAAAAGTGTTGTCGCCTTTGTCAGGTAACATTTTCGTCTCAAACTTTCCTTTTCATGTACGTTGTATATCTCTGCATTGTGCACAAAAATTGTATTGTTACTTTTTTTGTTTTTGTGCTACGTCTTTATAATCTTGGGGAATTCAGGGATTTTATATTATTTTGCTGATCGATATTATTATTCTTTATATCTTTGTTTAAGACAAAACAAGCTTCACTAAAATGTTTACTCTAATTACAGGCTAATTTTACGACAGGCGAATCATCCTGTTATTACTCGAAGAATAAACTCCATGAGTTTCGTATTCACAAGTCCTCTATTATTTTCTTTCTTGTCAACAGGAGAAGGTCTGTTTTCAAGAGCAGCTCTACATTATCGTTTCCCACGACTAAAATACGAAGAAGCAGCGAAATTTTTCAGCAAGCCACCAGGTGAAACTGTTATATCGTGAATGAATGTAAACCGTTTGCTGTAAATTATGTAAATACAAAGAAAGACAGTAAAAATTAGTTATGGGAACAGTCCTATTTATTGTTAGAACTTCCAATATTTGTTTGCTGATGCCTGTGTGCTTTAGTATGATATATTGTATATTTTAAAGATATATCCTATTTTACTGGAAATGAATCAGTTTTGTCAATACCTGTGTTATACCTGGGATTTTTCGTCGAAAAATCAACAATTTCAATCGGATGCTTGGTTGGATCGAAAGACAGCAAAGATGCCAATTGCGTTTATTTGAAGGATAAAGTCAGGAAGCTAGCATTGATTTTCTTGGCGATTCAGTTCCCTTGGCATTTGCCTTACAAAATCAGCATTCGTTGCTCGGTGAATCTAAGTGAAAAATTATTTATTTTATATTTGCTCACATGCAAGTAAAACACTTCGCTCATATGCTAATAAGTACAACGCTGTGTTTCGTCTGCCTATCATCTTATTTTTTTTTTCCCAAGTCTGTGTCGCCTGTTGCTGTATTGAATAGTGTATTATTGTGTAGAATTTTAACCAAAACTAGGTAACGGTGTATACAGTAAAATGTATCCATTATTTCTCGTTTGGTATCACAACTTTAGCTTGAAAAGCAGCAGTTCTGACTTCATACTCATTTTCAAGGTGCGACCAGTAAACCGACTTATACTTATATTGCAAACCGCTTTTCCAGACTGTTTGTTCTTGTGATATTTGTAATTTATTTCGCTCCAAAGTGACAAGTGCTTCTGCAACACAAGCATCGGGCATTTGTTTGTTAAGCAATGGTATTCGTGAGACGTGCATCGCTACCTGTTCGCGCGAGGTGGGGTCATCCCACCTGCCATGTCAAAACGAGGACCAGCAAAGTAGCGGAACATCCACGCGTTATTTGATCGTACTTGCTGTATTCTTTTCGAGAATTTCAAAACATTGTTCAATATTATCCGCTATTTCAATGAAAATTTGGCATTTTCCTGTTAATTATGGGCAGTTTGAAAAATCATGGTAAGCCAATAACATTTTCTATTTGTATATAAGTCGGTATTATTGTGTGCTTGAATGATAACGCTTGAGGAGTTTCCTTATCGAAAAAAGTTTAATTCGAGTTATCATCTTTAATTTTTGAGTTTCCTATATTGACACAAAAATAGCCCGAAAGACTTACTCATTTTTCGCAAATATCTAAATGTGCAACTGTAATTGATATGCTGCAATCGCATTAGGTGCAAAGTGTGTGGCTACGAATTTAAGTTTTACTTTATAAGTTTTACTTTTTATATCGTAGAACCAACTCCATCCATTGCCAATCCTGTAATACTGGGTGCAGTATCAGCGGTGGCAATACTAGCACTGCTAACAGTGTTATTGACTATCCATCGAAAGAAATGTTGCTCGAAGCAAACCAGGGTGAATAACAGAACGCAAGGAGATCTGAGCAAGAAGCTTAAGGCAAGGAAAATTGGCTATGATATTCCAAGTCGAAGCAAGCCTGTCATGAGTGCTGCTGTGTGGCAGCAAGAGGAGAACGATATTGCAGATGAAGTGAAGAAGCACTACGGAAACATATCCAACTGCAGTAATCCCGTTCTGTTTGAGCTGAGTGGCTTTGAACATCAGGATGAGTTTAAACAAATCGCAATGGAAACTAGTAATTGTAAAACTCAAATGAAGAAAAGGGGAATAGCAAAACTGCATTCGATTTTGAAAAAGCCTTCCAACAAAACACCTTTTGGCAAAGATGAGTTTGAAAGTAAGAGGGAAAAGGCAGAGAATAAACAACCCAAGAAAGTTTTGCCTTTCTCGAATGGTGCGCTGCCTTTGGCTAAATTAGACCGACGGGCTGTAAACCAAAATGTTTATGAGGAAGTTGCAATGGAAGAAAATGCAAGGTCAAAAGTTCAAGATTGGGTTAACAATTCAATGGCAGTGAAAAGCGATAATAAAGATAAGGATCAACTGGTTGCAGATCCTTTGGCCGGGTGTGATTCTAGAGAATTTAAACGCGAACAATTTGATGTGAATGAAGCAACTGGTGTGACAGAAGCTAAAAGACTTGAAGGAGAAAAAAATATATCTTGTGACAATTATGAAAGAGCAAAGGACTTAGAAAATCAGCCAGCTTTCATTGAGAAGAACACAATGAGAAAAAGTGGAGGACCGAAAGAAGTGGATGTTAATATTAAAAAGGAGAATAACGAATGTACTGGTGTTGAGTTGAACGCCGGCCTTTCTAAGCAACGGAAACTTAAATTTTCAGCTGAGGAAGATTTTCAAACTGCAAAAGATATAAAGAAACTGATTGTGACAAGGTGGATAGACCATGCTTCTAGACAGAACAAACCATGTGTGGTCGAAGAAGAATCAGATATTGCATTAGGAGAGAAGTCATTGAACGAGCTCGAGTATGAAGAAATTGACTCTATATTGACAAGTGTTTCAAGGATGGATGAGAAAAGAATTTCACAGTTAAAAGCTACGGGGTTTTATCAAGAATTATTACGGAAGAAACTGCAAAAGCAGCCTAGAAATTATACTCAATTAGCTGTAGAAAGAATTGACGAGGAAGAAAATGTACCTAAGGATGGGAAACTAACAGAGGCACGTTTAAAAGAGAGAGAAACTCGTCAGGAATGTAGGGAGGATTTTTCTAACTCGAAAGTGATTGCCACAAGTGAAAAAAGGGTAGATTTCAATGCAGTCAAGAATGTTGATTCTATGGAGACATCTATCGCTAACAAAGAGAACGTTCGCCAATCTTTGGCTGAAAGCAGCATTCAAGAGGTATCCACTGAGAAAGGAAAATATGATAATAAATTTACTGGAAAGCCCAAAGTGCCAATTGATAATCACGAGTCTTCATTTGTTTCGAATTACTCTTTAAACGAAAATGACCCATTTGTCAAGTACTCTATCGTCCGCAATTTCAGCGATCGCTATAACCCACAAGTTTATGTATCCCTCACTCATATCCACGGACTTGGTAGACTCTTTGGCTATGACAATACTGTAGTCGCAAGGTTGTATATGGCAGACAATGCCACTCAAAATACAGTCGAAGAGAGTTCACCGATTCCCTGTGATGACGATATCTACCTTGAGGAGATGTTTTCAGTAAAAGGTGTCTCGGCCAAGGCGATAATCAATGACTCTCTTGTCATTGAAATGATTTTAGAGGATAATGACGAACCAGAGTTGTTTGTTGTGTTGCCCCTGGATGGACTTCGCCATAAAGCAACCTTGATTGATTCAGTCCCTTTTGAAAAGGGTAGTTTTGATAAAAATTGATATATTGAAACCTCCCAGTCGAGGATATAGTTTTCTTCATCGTATGAATTTATGATTTACAAGAAAGGATGGGCATTCAAAGCTAACTTAGATTCTGTACATATTTTATGTAAACTTATTTTTTGAAATTTGGTAATACAATTTATCTTTTCTATGACATGTGATTGCTGTTAGTAATTTTTGTGATAATTTGTTTACAAGAATTGTAAGCCTTGTAATCTTATACAGATCCAAAACCACGAAAGTTAGTCTAAAATCAATTCTTTACTGTCGTCTTTTACCTCTAAACTCTCAAAAAGTTGCACTCCTTGTAATTATGGATACCTTAAGATTTTTGTTAATTTTTAACGACTTTTTAATGTTTTTAAATGTTTTGTGCCAAAAATGTTTTTAAAAATCTTTCCCCTTTTTCTTAAACAATTTTCTTTTAAATGTTCCAGTTATAGAGCAGGCGACTCTATCATGGTCAGGGTTAGGTTGATTTTAGCCTTTCAGATTTCTGCGCTTTAACCAAATAATACCTATTTTTAATAATTTTGCAAAAAAGTGCCCTTTCGGTATCGTAGTGCCCTTTTTTCATAAATTTTCCAACAGAATTTAACCTTTTTCAACAATTTTTATTGACAAACGTTTGCTTTTTTCCCACAGTGAACATTTTTAAAATACACCTTTAAAAGCAATCCAAAATACCTTAGATGGCCATTAAATTTTTAAAAGATTTTCATTAGATTTTCAAAACATTCTTTCGTTCAAACATTACCCATTCTCAACAATAACTTACAGACATCCAATTTACTCTCACAGCCGGATTTTAGTATAAGAACTTTACAGCCTTTATAGAAGAACTATAGACAACGCGGCCATTTTTATTTTTTCATATTGGCAATCGTCTGGTATTGATCGAGGCTAGGTTAGTTTGGAATATTTCTATTCCTACTTTTCAACTCTTCAATTTCCAGAATTCTTTAAAAATGCGCACAGAAGCCCCGGTTCAGTTGTGGAAAGCCTTTTCTTCCATTAATGACCTCCCTTGAACATAGCGCAAAAAGTCAGCCCTTTTCTCGATATTTTAAGGCGTTAGTAAAATCAAGGCCTCTAAGTTCATCAAGCTAATTCTAATTTGTCGCCCCTGTGACGTAGTGGTTAGCACTGTTGCTTCACGCCACTGTGAGCGGACCGGTACAGGCTATCTAGGCCCTCGAGCCCCATCCAAAGCAACATAAGAAATATATAAGAAATAAGGCCAAGGACCAGGAAGTCCTAGATAGCTTCAAAAAATGATTTTAGCAATATGGATATTTGCACTTCAAATTTGTTAACGCTTTTTTATTTTAAAATGTTTTTCGTTGAGACCTGGACCTTAAAACATATCGATAGCAAAAGGAAATTAAGCGCCTGTTAATGAAGACTATCGTATGAATTTCCTATCTTCTTGATCAATATAAATTTTAATTAATACTAATTTGTCTTTATTTTGTAATTGGTGAGTTCATCCTATTTTAGTTTTGGACAATGATAATTCCTAAAAGTTCTTCAAGTCACAATCCTTATTTAAAGCATGATTAATATTAAGAAAATGGCAAATACATATTGCTTGGCAATTGAAGCTTCTTCCTTTCCCTGGATTTCCCATGTGAATTTACACCCTTCTTAATATTTTCACAGACGCAAGTCTTTGAACTTTGGTAGACCTATTCTCGTCAGATAAATATATATTTTCGAATCATCAAATGATAATCCTCATGACTTTTACCAAACTATTTTTTGTTGTATAAAGGCTTGATGTAGTTAGGTTTTGTTCAGTTCAATTTGAAAGTTTTAAACTCTTTTGGTGCTTCCTCTCTTTTGAGGGTTTACGATTACCAATCCTTGCCCTCATAATCACAAAAGTAACTATAACTTTGTTGGATAATCAAAACTCGAACCTGCACTCACCTTGAAATATCATTACTGATTGCATGCTCTTGTTTCGACTTGTGAAGCGTAAAATTTTTTCTATTTGTTAAAGCTTGAATTAATGATGCATGTTCATCCCTTTTTAGAAGCTTCAAAACTTTTGCAACATTTTATGCCTTTTGATTTACGACAGATAAAATGTTTGAACATGAACTCAAAAGTTTGTATATTTACATTCACTATTTAAATTTATATTCAAAGATATTAACGTTGTCTTTTCTTGCGTGCATAGGCTAATTATATCATAGTATAAGCTTGCCTATACTAAATCTTTACTTTACTGAGCTTAAATGTTTCTCAATCGTCTAAGATTGCTTTTGAAGACAGACATAAAAAGCTACACAAGATCTGTTCGATCGTTTGTTTCATTTTTTAGAGAAAAAGCAGATCATAAAATTCTAGACACTTATGCATTAATTATATAGGTTTAACGATCATTTTTTTTTAAATACAAACGCATCATCAAAATTTTATGTACCAATGTTTGATCTTAGCGGCTTTTCTGTACATTCTTTTTAGGAAATTTTTATTCATGTTCCTTTGTAATGACTTTGCATGTTTTTCTTTTCTTCGATCATTTTTTGCGCCGATTCAAATATGTAAATATCAGAAGGAAAGGGACTCAATTTGGGTTTTGTTTCTGTTTATCTTGAAGCCTCAGTTCTTTTTTTCAAAATGATTTAAAAAATGATTTTTACGATTGATATTTATGTTACCAATCATTTTTAGTATCTAATTATTCTTAATTAGATTTTATTTTCTTGTTTTTTAGGGAAATTCTCTGGATTGAGTGAAGCATTGCCAAAATTCAGATGCATTTAATAAAGATCTACAGATCAGTCGAAGTGTCAGGTAAAGACCAATCGTCATTATCCAAATTTATAATAAAAATAGTGACTGATTTCAAAAGGTTTTTTTGTTGGAGGATGTTGGAATGAAAACAGTTATGTGCTAGATTTTGAGCTAGTTATAAAACTAGTTGCAAGTTGTTAGCTTTATTTACAGACCGCTCCAACTCTTCACATTGCCTCGTTTTTAAAGAGAATTCAAAAAGAGTGTTTGTCATTTTTCTAACGACAGGCCGCTAGAAATAAATGGCCATTTTCAACATCGCTAGGCAGCACTGAGATAATTTTTTCTCGATTCGTTTTTGCAAAAAAGATTATCCTGTACACATATTTGCCATTTGACCTAAATGTGGTGTCACCAAAATGAGGAGGAAAATGGTCGTTGATTTTGTGGTATTGCAATAGTAAAGGTGAAAATAACAGCAGTACATATTGCCCAGAACTTTATTGTTGGAGGTAAGATGAAATTATGCGAAAAAGAAGAGGTTCTGAGTCCTTGTCCCAGAAAGACGTGTTCCCATGCCTTGTCCAAGAGAATGACATTGACCAACAGTTCTCATTTTTGATGCATATTTGCTTTGAGAAAACGGTGGGAGGATTGCTGGAAGGAAACCGTGAGTGGGAGCTGGGATGTGCCTCTGTTAAAATTTTTAAGGACATACCGTTTGAGAGAGAGAGTAACTTACCACTTTTGCATATAGTCTTTTACAGTCAATGAAATGCCATACTTCTAGGAGTTATCGCCCTCCCCCTACCCCCATCTAATTTAAATAGAACGCTTGCACCATACTGGCTGCCTGTTAGAAGTACCCCCCTTCATTCCAAAAGACATCAAGTCACCGGAAATACACAAGAAAATTAATAGAACATTTTGGATTCGCATGATATTTTTAGTTTTGGAGACCCACTAAAAACAACCCTCTTCACCAACAAATTACCAGAGGCTTTGCAGTTGTGTTTACTAGAAATGCTATTGTATTCTGGCTTGACTGAAGTTTTCCATTTAGAACGTGTTGGCCCATTGTACTGTGGTGTGAACTTCTAAAACCATCGCTATTCAATATCAGACAGTGCCTTTGTATTTTTCAAAAGAACTTCACACCAGCCAGCATGACTTGGACTTTTGTTTGTTTCAGGTGACTGTGGTTTTCGAAAACAAGCAACTTTACCTGGAAAACATCTTGATTTGCGAATGAATTTTAAAGGAATATTCAGACCATTTAGTTCATAAAGGTATGGTTTTACTTTTCTTCGACGATGGTTTTCTTTAGACTCGTTAATTTGCAGTAAAAATATTCACCCCTCCGCCCTCTGCAGCCGCTTTTTGCCTCAGCACTACACACGCCACGTGTTTACAATTTAAGTTTGTGCTTTCGCTATATCATCTCCTACAAAATTTTTGAATTGGTAACAACTTGCGTTCAATCGTTTCCAGGACATTGACATTTGATTTATTATAAATATATATTGCAAGATTCTGCTCACGGTTCGCTGGAATCCGCTAGCAGACGAACCCCCGCGCCCCGCTTTGTAAACATCAACTTGGGCTTTAACAAATGTAAATTGATAAGCTAAAATATAGAATATTTAATATTCTCAAGGTCTGTTTGATTTTTTCTTTGCTAGTTTTTGAAGACTTTGACAACTCGCTTTTCAAATCAGCGAAGGCTGCACAACTCACGAGACTAACCACGACTGCACAACTCACGAAGCAAGTCGAACATTCTCAATATTTTCAAGAACTGTAAGACATGTAGATTATAATTCTTATTGACTTTACTCTTAATTGATTTTCTTTATATTTGCAAGTTTTATCAAAACTTATCCGCCAAATTATACTATAACGCTACGATTTACAATATACTAAACGGCTGCCATTAGATTCCCCCCGAGCTTCTGTTGGATTTAATCTAAAATATCTGTAATTCTTTAGAATCTTCCCCCGTTTTCTATTGTATTTACCCTGAAATTCTATTGAATTCTCCCCCGTATTCTTTTGTATTTCATCTTAAATTGTATTGTTTTCCCCCCGTTTTCTATTGTATTTCCTATGAAATTCTATTGAATTCTCCCCCGTATTCTTTTGTATTTCATCTTATATTCTATTGTCTTCCCCCCGTTTTCTATTGTATTCTTCCTGAAATTCTATTGAATTCTCCCCCGTATTCTTTTGTATTTCATCTCAAATTGTATTGTTTTCCCCCCGTTTTCTATTGTATTTCCCTTGAAATTCTATTGAATTCTCCCCCGTATTCTTTTGTATTTCATCTTATATTCTATTGTCTTCCCCCCCGTTTTCTATTGTATTCTCCCTGAAATTCTATTGAATTCTCCCCCGTATTCTTTTGTATTTCATCTTAAATTGTATTGTTTTCCCCCCGTTTTCTATTGTATTTCCTATGAAATTCTATTGAATTCTCCCCCGTATTCTTTTGTATTTCATCTTATATTCTATTGTCTTCCCCCCGTTTTCTATTGTATTCTTCCTGAAATTCTATTGAATTCTCCCCCGTATTCTTTTGTATTTCATCTCAAATTGTATTGTTTTCCCCCCGTTTTCTATTGTATTTCCCTTGAAATTCTATTGAATTCTCCCCCGTATTCTTTTGTATTTCATCTTATATTCTATTGTCTTCCCCCCCGTTTTCTATTGTATTCTCCCTGAAATTCTATTGAATTCTCCCCCGTATTCTTTTGTATTTCATCTTAAATTGTATTGTTTTCCCCCCGTTTTCTATTGTATTTACTCTGAAATTCTATTGAATTTCCCCCCGTATTCTTTTGTACTTCATCTTAAATTCTTTTGAATTTCCCCCCGTTATTCTATTGTATACCTTCTCAAATTCTATTGTATTTACCTTAGATTTCTTTTGAAATTGCCTTCGATAAAAATGAACTTGATGACAATGTCACATTGTATTTCCTACATGTTTCTTTTGTGTGGAGCCTGGAAACTTTCGGCATTTCAATAAGTATCTCTATGGAAGTCTTAGAGGTTATCAATAGAAATTCAAAAGACATCCCCCCGTTCTTCTTTTCAAATTTCTTTAGAAATCAACGTTAGATTAGCTAAGAATTTCTGAGCAAATTCCCCCGGATTTCTATTGTCTTCTGCAGAAAATTTGCCCGCGTCAGGAGGCTGGTCAAATGGCGGCTGAGAGCCGCGAATGATTGACAGGTCATTGTTTTTAGCCAATCAAATTGCTCTATTTCAGCCCTTTTGGTGGCTGCGGGCAAGAGCCGTCACCTGCAGATATTAATATTTCACAGTAGCCTTTGGCCGCCGAGGGCCACCATTGTCAATTGACCAATCAGAGAGCAGTATTTTGGCCCCGGTTTATTGTTTTTTCCACCAATCAAAATATAGTATTCTATTGTTATTTGACCAATCACAGCCTTTAATTTTCCCATTGTTTTTTCTATTGTTTTATAGCCAATCAGATACCCCTATTTTAGCCGCCGTGCCTCGTTTTGATTTTGGAATGACGGGGGGCTTTCAGCCTCGATTGCATGCGGTGAAAGACGGGGGTTAGAAAGCAGTTCAGTTTGATTTTCTCCTCTTCATTCAAGCGATCTTACTCTACGTACAATTTTAAGTTCTACCTTAGTACATCGGAGACTGTTTTCGTACGGGGTTGTCTTAGCATGGTGTTTTAAGCAAAGAGTTAACAGGAAGGAAAATAATTCCCCTTGTTAACCCTTTGATTAAAACACCGTGCTAAGAAAACCCGTTCAATGTTGTGTTAGGGGTTCTACAAACATGGTGTTTTAAGCGAAGGAGTAAGCAGGAAGACTGAAGCCTTCTTGTTGACCCTTCGATTAAAACACCGTGCGAAAACCCCTACGCAACATTGAAAACAGTCTCCTAAGCTTAATTACAATAAGTTAAACTACAATACAAACGAAACTAAGTAGAAACGAAAGGGCTATCCTAAAAACAGACGCGAACAGGCGCCTTGTCCACATCCATTCATAGAACAAGCCCCGGTTTCTTTAAATAATACTTTAAACAACACTACAACAGAGATATTTCTCGCAAAATTCGGGTTGAAGTTGACGGGGAAGTTCTATACCTATAAAGCTGCTAAACTATTAAAGTTTCTTGTCTGAGGATATCCTAAAATCTATCGAGGGAGTTTCGAAGGGCTTCGTGGACGAATAAGGGGGTGCAGTTAGCGTTTGCAAATTAATATCAATTGCAATCTTATGATTGAAAATTATCTAGAGAAACTTACCAGATACTACGGGAAACTCGACGGAGGGCTTGTAATATTGTAATGGAGGGCTTGAAATATCATAAAGGTCAATATTTGATATCTGTTAATGAGCGATCCATTATTCCACGAAGTTGAATGGTTTGGATAGCAATAGATTACGACTTAGCAAATCTTTGGCATCAAACAAATCTTGCATCATAGGACAGTGCCATTAAAATGGGAGGGGATCTCATTTCATCTATTCCAAATGTGCGAGAAAATACTGGCTAATAATCATAATCAACGATAAATATTATACGATTCCAAGTTCATTCTCTACGAATTGTTCATGAATCTTCAATTCTTTGACTTCAAATGTAGCAATGCTTCATATCCTTGACGCCACCAAATTGAGGACCTGCAAAAGGATGCAAAAGCCAGCAATATCGAAGTAAATAGTCCACCGAAAAAATAATTCAAGATGAAGTTGTAACGTAAACATGAGTTTTTTATTCCACGTGTATGATTGCAGCTTGAAACATTTTCAAATTAAACTTGTTTACATTAAAGCTGATCCAGCGACAAAGGGAATCAAGCGTATCTTGGTCGCATTGTTGCTGAAATGCATGGAACTCCACGCAACTTTGCATCTTTGATGCTCAAGGGACCCTTGGTTTCCACGCAAGCCAACATCTACCCACCTAAATCTTTAGAAGAAAGAGTGATTTTAGAAGAGGGGGTAGTACATTTAGGCAAAAAGAGCATCTTCAAGAACGGCAAATGGGCACTTGACCTAATTTTCTAAAAAGTGTGGGGAGTACGTACCCCCGGTTCCTATGCCTATGGCTACATCTATAAGAATATTATGATGCCTTTTTGCTAGATGTATGCTAGAAATCCCTTTCTACTTTCTTGTCCCTGTTAATCGTAATGTTTTAAACATGCGGCCATTTTCGCGAATTTTTGCACTAAAGAAAAGACAGACTTTTTAAGCTTGCTGGGAGATTTGTGATACACTAGAATTACGGAACTATTGCCTTTAAGACACCATTGTTCTAAGTGAATGATATGTGCCTCACGTGTATTTTTGAATGAACAACTCTCTTGGGAATTTCACAGCTTTTTGAAAATTTCCCTACTTTTTAAAAGCAAGAACATCAGAAAGCTTAAAGTTGTATTAAAAGGGATCTTTTAACCGTATCTTTATAAATGAATCCTATATAAATTTCAAGATATTTTTGCAAGTTGAATAACACTTAAATTATTTCCCTTCTATATTCAAACATTGTGAGCTTGAACTCTAAAAGGCAGTGTTCGATAAACATTGTGAGCTTGAACTCTAAAAGGCAGTGTTCGATAAACATCCATTTTCCATCTTTACTGTTTTCAAAATATTCAAAGGACCTACTAAAAGCTACATGTTAAAAGTCAGAAGTAACTATAATTGCTTTTTATCCTAGCAAACCATGAATTTGATCTTTACTTATCTTAACTATCATTCCAAAATATGCAGTATTTCAACCTTTGCTTTCACAGTCAGTCCACAACAAAGACCCAGTCAACCCTCAAACTACCCTCACTAAACAGTTCCCTAACCAACGTCAGAAGCCAAGCCAAAACAACTCAAGCCATCGACTCCAACCAACCAACCTCAACCAGAACTTCAACCTCAATCTTTCGTAGAGCGAATGCAAAGGTTGATCAACTGCAAGTTTTGTTGGTTCATAGTTTGTTAACCTAATATCTAGCCTAGGAATGTTTTTAATATTTTTGTAAGTAAAAGAAACATTATTTTGAGGGAAAGAGAAACACTATTTTTGCAAAATGATTTAATTTTGCACTGAGACTGTTTGCAAAAGTTTAAAAAGTTTTGAAATTCTTACGAGATTTTTGATACACAAAACCCAACTGTTGGCATACTTGCGCTGGTATATTTGAAAAGTTTCACTGCTTAGTAAAAGGCTGTAATCTAAATGCTCTGAGAAAACTTTAAAGAAAACTTTGTCTTAAAGTATCAAGTATTGACTCAACTCCGTTTCACTGATATTGCCTCTCATGATAAAGTAGGCATTTGCCAATCTTGTTTTGAGTTTATGGCTATACTTGTTTCATGGCCATAATTTTTCATCTGCGACAAACTTCTTCAAAGGACTTCGGCAAAAATTTATCATATATGCATTTTATTCCAGTTCCTTGAGGATAGCAAAAAATAAATTTTTAAATGGAAGATTCTCACCGTATATATAATCCTAGATTTCAGCTATCGTCAGTTTTGAGTCAGAGCGTCGGTTCCGTTCTCACCTGCAAAATAGTTGTTTTCAAACTTAGTAAATGCTATATTAAAATCCTTATATTTTTACAGTTTATTTTGTTTCCTAGACATGTAAAGAAAATTCTCATGGATGATAATACTTCTGTTGTAAAGAAAAATAAACTAAAACATTCAGTGTAAAAGACAAACAGGTAAATCCTCCAAAAATATCACACTACTAAGTGATCGATGCAATATAGCTGTTTGTAAAATTAGAAATTAATTTGACATTTAAATAATCATTTACAATCGCAAAATATGAAATGATTTTCTATGAATACTTTATAAGATTGCGAAATTTTTAAAAATCATTGCTTCATTGACAAATCATCAGATTTTAAAATAATATTATGATTATAATCCAGCATTAAAAACTGAGCCACATCAAGTTAAATGTTGGTTTTTGCACCGCACATTAATGTTATTCCTGATACGATACAATCAATAATACAGATAGAGACATCTGCTATCACTGTTACATCCCTGTAGCATTTAGACAGAAAACTGCTCATCAATTAATGCAAGTTGATTTAATCTTAATTAACTCACCATAACATGGTATCTTGACGCAAATTCTGTGTCAGTATTTTCACAATCTAAAAGGATAATTGAATATTTAGAAGTTGAAAGATTCTGAGGCAAGTTATTGTCCAAACAAAATAGAGAAAAAAGATAACCTTTTTCTAAAATTTCGGATGTTTGGGTACTGAAACTGATATCAAAGTTTGATATATGTAATTTTTGATTCTTTGAAAAGATAATGATTGCATCATTTTAATGACAAATAATTATAGCAAATAAGCTAATAACATTAATCGAAGAGATTTAAAAGATATAAGGGTTTATTTCCAAGACTATAATAGCTTTATAAATTAGATTGTTTGCTATAAATATAAAAAAGGCATATCCTGGCGACTATCATAAATGACCCTTTCAACAGGCTGCAGAATGATACTAGATAAAGTTCATTATAATAAATACTAATAATATTAACGAATTATTTAACAGGATAAAAACTTCAACAATTACGAAATTTATCTTATTTTTTAAAAAAAACATAAATTGAGTTTTAAATTTAAGTTGATAACTGGCAATGCATCATTGTAATATTTTCATGTAAATGCTTCTAAATATACTTTTTTCATAAGCGTTACCAGCAGCTTTTCTATCAGAATGTTTGCTAAAATTCTTTCATTGCAAATTTCTCGAAAAAACATTAAAAAATGTTATGATGCTTGAATTCAAAATTTTTTGTTCTATTGAAGAAATAGTGACATGAACATCAAAGTTATTCAGCTGTAGGATTACTTTTTTTACTGATAGCTCTCTACTTTTGGTTCCGTTCCAGGGTTTATGAAATCAAAACTTTTATCAATGACAAATTAGATGTGTAAAAAATGCATAAAAAAAGTAACATCGACTTACAAAATCACAATCTTTGGTTACAAACCACATCTTTTTGTTAGAAATTTGATGTGAAATTCTGAAAAATGGAATTTATCACTTTAGGTGTATATCAACTTTAAGGAAAGGTTAATATTGCGAAAATTAATTTTGTGCTAATTGAACTGAAGTCTTCTTGTTATTGCACAAAAAAGCTAGTCAATAGTTTTAAGAGACTTATAGTTCAATTTGCATTAAGAGCTTCCTCTAAAATCATAGATCCCAATAGGAATATTCCAGAAAATGTGAAAAGCTTCCTTCATGAAAACAATTTTAAAATTTGCAGGTGCTCAACAGTAAAGTATTTAAAAGAGAAGGGGTACTTGGAAGCAATTATCGTTGGATTATGTATTCCTTTTTTCCATTAACAATAAACTAACATCCTTTCATGTAAAATTTAGATGATGGTTCCTTAAAATATCAAAGAATGTACTACATTTTCAGACGGTCAATGAAATTCATTACAAAATGTAGTCTTACTTTGTTCACAAGACTTTGCTCTGTCTTTAAAATTACATTCTTGAGGTATCGCACCATGATGCAACAACCAGTACCTGTAAATTGATCCAATATATTTAAAACTTTGGAAGATCTAGACACACGGCACATCACAAAAGTTGCAAAAGACCTAAACTGGGTCGTTCTATGGCTTTTTCATTTTCATATTCAAACAAGAACCGCGATGTTTGCGACAACTATTATGATATGAGCATCTTTCAACAAATGAACATTAGTTTCATATGTCTAACCGAAGCAATGATCAGATTTTTGAAGTCAATTGTTTAATTCTGGCACATATACCGACTGAAAAAAAATCGATTCATAGGAATTCTGAGATGGAAATTGTTTTGCTGGCAAGAAATTTTGCTTAACAAGTTTTGCCTAAACATTAACTAGAAAAATACATAATCTTTCAATTTAAAAAATAATACGTGCTGTCTATTAAAGATAAAAAATTCATAAGAATCAACTAACCGATTTTTGGTCTTGAAGATAAAACGTGTGTCATTCTTTGAAAATATTAGCACTCTAAAACTAAAGATATCTGATAACTTTCTAAAACAATGTTTTCTCTAAGGTGAGCTCAAAACCCAAATGGATAAAATGTTGTAAAAAATTACAAAAACTGTCTTGCACTAACGACATACCTGAAAAGAAAAAGAAATTACTAAGAAGTGCGAAATACAAAATTAACATAAGCATTAAATTCATTATATAATTATCTTTGTGAGAAGTACCTCACCGAAATCTTAAAATATTCAGACAAATTCAGCAAAGTGTTGCTATTAACTACAGTTATTGCGTGAGGGAAATTAGAAATTGTTCTCTATATCCAGCTATAAAATCGTAAAAAAATCTATATCATCACAGAACACTCTTTTTATGCTTTAATTTTCCCCCTGATTTAAGATTATCTTGCAAAATAATTGCTATAATGAAATATAGCTAAAGTTCTCTTCAAGACTTGAAATTGAAAACCAGAAAATTTTGCATGTCCTGTTACATTATTTTTTAGTCGGCCTATAACCTAGAAAGTGATGATCAAAGTTGCTTCAAGAAATGTTTTTGGCATGCAAACAAAAATGTTGTACAATGGGATGCTAAATACTTCTAAAATGAAAATAATCTGCATAAAACTTACCTTTTGATTTCATTCAGGCTCCTTTCGTACTTTTCATCGCTAAAATATGTTAAATTATAAAAGAGTTTATAAAAGCCTAAACAGTTAAATTATAAAAAGAAAAACAATAAAAAATTTCCTTTTTCGAGGGATACAAAGAAGTTTCAATACAATCATCATCTTAGTGCTCTGCGTGAATTTTTATAGTGTTCTATAAGCCTGACTTGCAGAATACTATATTTACTTTGCCTCCAGAAAGGGATGTTACGTAGAAATCACAAGCCAATGAAGTGCTAACTAGGCAAAAAATCAGGTTAACTTTTTTATAACTAACCACTTTAATTAATAAGTTTCAAGGTAAGGTGTTTCAAGGTAAGGTGTTTGGTAACAAGCTAAGGTTTTACAGTTTCAAGGTAAGGTGTTTCAAGGTAAGGTGTTTGGTAACTAGTGCCACATATGAAACAAATTGAGACCAAGCTTTGTAAAACTCACCAATTTTCCGAGCTTTAGGTCTCCAGAAAGGTATTCTTCTTACAGCATGAAAAACTTAAGACAGATTAGTTTGTGAACAAAATCAAGACAAAGTAAAAAGTTGAAAAGCCCAAACTCTCGAAATGAAAAATTTGTTTAGAAAATTTTTGAAATGTCGAATAAAGAATAACTTGAATTAAATTGGAATGAACTGGAGAAAAGAATAACTTGAAATAAATGTAGAGTGTATACCAGCAAAAGTTATTTAATTATTCAGTAACCACGAAGCTCTGAAGGATCGTATCTCGCTGTCATGTAGATTTGGAACTGCAAAATCATTAGTAACCAAATTTTTCAGGATTTATCTAAAATATTTCTCTATTAATCTTTTCTAAAAATATTCAATATCATCAGGTTTCACAGTTTCAATTGCAGGCAACATAGATAGATTAGATATTAAGGAAAAATATTTACTCACAAATTCATGATTATCGAGCTGTGATCCATGTTTTCCCTTGAGATTTTGATATTGTAAGATGAAGAAAGTTCGCAAAAGGTTGAAATTGCGAAAGAAGACAGCATTTAAAGAGAATTCAGCAAGCACAGAAAAGCATTTGCAAATTTGATAAAAGTGCTATTAGATTAATGCTACATCAGAAGGCAAAATATAAACAACTTTAGAACAGAAATTCTCTTATCAAAACAAAAACATTCTAAAAAATAATTTGGCAATAAATCTGCCTTGACCTACAGCAATCCTGCACTAATCCTGCACCAATCTTGCTGTACAAATCGGAACGCCAAATCAGAGGAACCTTTATTAGTTCCAAGTTGCATCATGTGCTTGAAACTGGTGAAGTAGAAGTCTGCTGAACTTTCGTTCTCCCAACAACTTACTAGACATTTAATTGTGAATTAAAATATTCTCTTGTAATTAAAACTGTATAACTGATTTCGGAACAAAATGATTGAATGACCTGAGAAAATTAAAGAGATTGCTCTTCAAAAAACCATCAAAGGTTTGCTTTCCACAAAATTTGGTTCAATATCTTTTTTAGCTTTCTTAAAGTCATCATGATAAATAGAGAAAATTTCAGGAATTGAAAAACGAGTTTCACTTACCAAGTTATTTGTATGCGATGCTGAAATGTTAACGATAGACAGATATGGACTGATCAAGAGAACGAGACAAGAAATATTTTTTTTATTCATTGTTTAATTTCTCAACTTTTTTATCTAGCAGCAACCAGCAGCAACCAGCAGCAACCAGCAGCAACCAGCAGCAGCAATTAACAAATAATGAATATTTATAATACTGATATGCAATAAATCACTAGTAAGAACCTAATCAGTTTAAAAATTTTACGAAGAATCAGCAACCTATAAGTCAATCATTCCTAACTTGTGCTTGTGATGATGCTGGTGACAAAAACCTTGATAATCATAAGAAATCTAGCAAGCATAGTTTCCAGGCATAACTGTATTCTGGTTTTATAAACGACATATCAAATAATCAGATCATAGCTATATTAATCTGCTACCCGTCTATAAAAAAGTATAAATTGTCAATAAGCATTCACTTACCAATCTTCAATCTTAGCTGATATTGAAAGCGATACATCATTGAAGTCCATTAAATTAATAAGTTCTTAAAAAAATCTCTGAAAACTGTCAGTTAATCAATCAAGCGTGTTATTAAACGCTACAACAAACTAGACATGGGAAAACAGAAGCAAATTGTAAAGAAGAATGCATTGCAGTAGCACAATATCTCAAAAGAAAAAATCAAACAATTAGACAATTAGACGAGGGACACATTTATGCCTAATGATAAGCAATGTAGTAAAGAAACAGCATTTCAAAGACCTACCATGATGTCAACTGCATTGCTGTTATCTCACTTTTTGTCAACTTGCAGCATTCAGGTATTCTAGCCTATTAAAATGAAAAAAATTGTTTTGGAATTCATCCAGAAGAGTTCAAATAGATGTATCTTTTGCATATGTAATTACATAAATGAAGTAAAAGTTTTACTTTCCTTCACGAAAAATCCCAAAACTTACACATCACAAATATGAGAGGGCAAAATTTAAGAGTTTTGAAAGTCACAACTATTTTGATTGCTAAAATAATTGTCTAAATGGAAAATTTATTCACAGAATTTCTGTATCAGGGTAATATTTGATAAGGCAGCAAAAATAAATTGGCCAGAATCAATTTTTACTCACTTTTATGCAAGAGCAACCCTTGTTGGTTCTTTTGACAACTGAAACGTGTAAATCTACAAAAGGATTTAGCAATCACTTAGTAATTTACACGAAATAGAGAAGCAAAATTACTTCAGAAACACCTTTATTATGTTCAAAGGTTATAGATACCAGCGGCTAAAAGATTATTCAATTTGAAGGAATAAAAGAAGAAGAAATAAATATTACTTTCAAAAAATGAAAAGTTTAATGTTCTAGTAACTTTTCAGCATATTATTTTTGAAAATGAACTCTAAAAACTCACCGGGTGCCTATACTCTGAGTCCCTCAAATAACTCCTCCTATGAATCAATTAGACTAGGGAAGATTTGAAAAAATTGACTATATTAAATTTCATTAATTAAAAAATTATAGAAAAAGAGACAATTAAAGTAGGAAAACCTTCATGACAAAAAGCTGCAAAAATCTCGAAAACCGAGCCTGAAAAAGATAAATAATCAAAATTAGCCATTATAAAAAACTCACGACTGTTGAAAACCCTGTATTGCCATAATATCTTTCATGTTAGTCAGAAACTAAGAACAAATCATTTCACAGAACAGTGTCTCAATAAAATTGATATTCTATAATACTGTATAAAAACCCTAAAAATAAGGATATTATCATGATTAGAAACTGCAATAAATTAATATCTAAATACTTTCACGACATAGCAAAAACCAGACCTAAAAAAGAAGAAATAGCTAATTAAATATCTTAAGAATAGTTTAACTTGCAATAATTTTTAAAATCTTGTGATATTACTCATCAACTAATGATTTGATACATTATTTCTCAGCTCTTATAAATTTTCTCATTTATTTCTTTTGGTCAAAAAGAATGATAATAGCTTTGATAAACAAACGATAAATTTGATATCTTTGCTAAATTGTACATCCCATTGAAATTGAGAACCATATGCATTGATTAGCATACTTGGAAAGATAAATTTAAAACAATTATTTAGCGTTGAAAAACCAATAAAGTTTGATTTTGAAATCCGATTATGTTTAAAGAAATAAAAGAAAATAACATTAAACGGTTTGATTAAAAAAACGAGTTAATACAAAAAATTTCAAGTTGGCACACTTTTGAGGTATCTTTCAAATCTAAATATTTTGTAGATATCTATAATCGAAAATTAATATGAAATTTTTTAATAAATAGCATTTTCGAAATTTCAATTATGCAATTTCAAATTTGATTTAAGACTATGCTAAAAAGGAAAAAAGGTAGAAAATGTTTAAAGTAATGCCTCAAATTTTTGGATCAATAGAAATGTAAAATGTGGTTGAAATTTTTGGCAAAAATACTTTCACAAAGTAAAACGTCAGGATTTTGGTTGAAAATTTGAATCAAATTGCAAGAATATTTTGAAGAGGGTGCAAATCTTTGGAAAATTGTGTAGCTCCTTTGTCGATTTGGTCTTTGCATAAAATAGCAAGAATCATTGTACTCATCATAAAAGATTTGAAAATCTGCCATATTATAGTCATTTTAAATTGGAAAAAAAGTTGTTCTGCATTTTTGTAACTCATTAGATAACTAGATTGTTTCTGCAATCACCACCGCCAACGACCTTCAATATCCACTAGCCAGCCACTTTCCCAGTACCACTCCAAAAACCAACCAAAATCTGAAACGACCTAGCAGCCACCTTGACAACCCTTAACGACAACCCCAGCAAACCAATTGAAAAGCAAAAGCAACGCTAGTTATCCAAGGAGTCACAAATGCAATGTTTTACAGAAAAAATTGAGGATGTTTTTTGAAAGCAGCTTCATAATTAAAAAAAATGTTTAGTTTTGATCCGAGGAACTTTTCAACCAGATTTTTGCATCGATACAACTTTCCATCTTAGAAAATATGAAAATTATGTTTCAATATTTTGTTTTTTCTCAACCGTTTCTGGAACTTAAAGCTTTTTTTCAATTTGATAAAAGAGAAATGAGGCTTGACGTTTTAGTCAATGAAAGTTTCCCATCAACGCGAACGATGAAAAGAATTAAAAAATCTCGAGTCTTTTTCAGGAAATTTTGAAGCATTTTTTTGCAATTTAGTGATTTAGAATTTTGGCTATAACTCCGTTAATTATGAAAATATCTATTTGCAATATTTCAACAAACAAATAAATATAAGGTCGATTTAAAACTCTTTAGCATTATAACAAAATTTTACGGGCTTTTGTAAATTTAAATTTAAACGTAAAATGAACATAATAATTCATATTTCAGGCTAAATGAACATAATAATTCATATTTCAGGCTAAAAGAGTACAAAATTTGACTGTTAAAGCATTCTCAAAGTTACTTTTCAAAAAAATAACTAATCCACTATTATTTTTGAAATATCTTTCCAGCTCAAAATTTAGATCCTTACGATACGTGAAAGAAAATTGAAAATTATTTAAAAAATACTATATCACAAAATTGTACCGAAATTTAAATGCTTTCTTGGTATCTGTCTTACAAGCCACTAATATTTTTTTCTAAAATAAGCCTAAAAACTTTGAGCTTCATATGCTAGATAATTTTGATCTCTCCTTAAAAAAGGTAGATGATATCAAGATGGCATAAAGTTGAATATTGCAAAAAAAGAATACCTGCGTATTTCAGTAATTACGCCAACGGTAGATTTTGTACACTCCTGATTTCCTGAAATAAACAATTGATAGGATTTTACGAATAGAATTTATAAATAATATTATGTAGCAATGTGAAAAAACTTTTCGCAAATATCTGAAGAATTTTATGTAAAAGAAGTGAAAGAGAAGGGAAAGAGGAACCCGTGGATAAATTAATTTCTTTAGATAATTTTAAGGAATCAGATTATTAATATCTGGATTGGGGCAGAATAACTAAGACGAGGAAAGTAGCTAAGAAAATACATAAAAAGGGCAAAATCTGGGCAAAATTTCCAATGTTACGAGTCTTAAATTTGCCGTTCTACCTCTCATTTGGCGCAAAAATGTCTTAATAAAGATTCAATCATTTTGTTAGGAAGTGCTGGCAGAGCTGTAAGGGTTCTAAATTATATCAATTAAGAGCAAAATGAATAGGTTGAAGCGGTAGAAAATCATTCGTCAGATAAATAAATTTAAAACCTCAAATGATAAATTTCTTGCATTTCTGACTAAACGAAAGCCAAAAGGACATTTAACAACCTAAAATGAGCTCCAACTGGGTAAGATAAGGAACATTTCAAGAAAATCTTGAGATGTAATGGACTGAAGGGATTTGTCGAGAGACTAGGGAGAATGGACTGGGAAAGGAGTTAGCGTCGTGGCATAACTTAGGCCCTCGTGGCACGTCAGATTTCTTGACGAAAGACACATAAAGCTTAGCCATTGGCAGCATCTACATAGAAGACGAAATTCTATTAACAGAGAAGAAACTAGAGCGGCCGCTAGTTAGGAAAAGTTTATGGCATCAATAGCAGAAGAAACGATAAGCAGATTGTTAAATACTAAATTGCTTGCCTTTCATTAGCGTGCTACGGGGTTCCTTTCGCTTTCGAAGCCCAAGAAGCAAAGGCTGAACAGTTGGAAAAACAGGTTTTAGATTCAGTACCGTTCCCCACTTTTTTGTCCTGGCACTAGTGTCTTGGGACATTGCTGCAATCACCCTGAGATTGTCCCATTCAAAAGGTTGTCAAAAAGCGGAGAGCGCGAGCGTTTACAAGCGTTTGCTCTTGGGTATCAAATCAGAGTCACACTTATTGTGATTTCTGCGCATTCAAATTGAAAGCTTGAACAATTCAATTTGAAATAAAACAGGTAACGAAATGATAAAACACGTGAGAAAAACCCACATCTTTAGGCCAGCCAAATCAGAAAGAAAGTTACGAAAGGATAATGTTGATCAATCATCTTACAGGCCCTTTAGCTATAACTACAATCACTGCCAAAATTACTTGGAACACCCAACACTTTGCGCTGTGCTTTTCTATTTTTAATTTGTTTTCTTGAATACTACCACTTCCGCCTCCCTTTCCCCCCAAAACAATGTTGAAAGTTTAGAAAAATATCAAACAATCCACAAGAAAAAGCGTACTCCATAACCCCTTTCTTTTTTCTATAGTAAATCAAAATTGTTCCTAGGGGGAGAGGGGGATGGCTGAATTTGCCTTTGAAAACCTACGTTAGTGTTCCAAGACTTTTGGCAGTGATTGTAACTCTTTGTGGTTGATATAAAACATTATTAATACTAATTTTAAATTAAGTTTATTAACAAGGATTATAGAGGAATTGTGCCTTCTAATGGGCTTCTAAATGAGCTGATTTGTGCTCTTCAGTGTGCAACTTGTAATGGATGTAATAGAATCTCACAATGAAAGAACAAGATGCAAAAAGGGTACATGTTTTCAGTAGTAATTCATTCACTCAACAGAAAAACAAATCGACAGAATATCTGAGGTACACCACTCTGTCACTGAGTGAAATGAAAGAACAACTTTCTAATGTAGACAAGAACTTTTCAGTAACTGGGTTTATTTGTATTTATTATAACTGGCAATGCTTAGTTCCTGGACAAGTCTGCCTTTTTAAGTTTCTATAAATGCCATTTTCCCAATAAAATAGTCGGACTTTCAAATTTCGCATTGCCCAATTAACAAAATCACAGAAGCTGCATAAGAATGTAAAGCAGAGCTAAATTTTAAATCACTTGTGCACCTAGGGCTCCAAAGTTATTGTGGACTAATAATGCTTAAGTGCAACAGAGAACATAAACCAGAGGTATAGACCATGAATTTGATTTTGGCTTCACCTCTTAAAACATTGACAATGTCTTTTTCGTTAATATCAAGGATTGAATCAAGGATATAAATGTAGAGCTGTCTTTCAGAAATAATGCTTTTATGGCAAGGATCTAAAATTGCAACACGGATAAAAACAAGAAAAAATTGGACCAAATGTTAGTGAAGCGATAGGAAAGTCGCGAAAATCTTAGAAAATTTAAAGGCATTCCTTTTTCATGGAACTCGTCAATTTTACATCAAAGCAACAGTTTGTTATTAAAGACCAATTGCTTTGAAGATTTCGCATATCAGTGCAGAACTAGACTATACATTGAAGGCTGCTGAGTTTATAAACAGTATAAAGGTTACTCTACTAAACAGTTTAAAAATTTGTCATAGAAAAGCTTTTAATCAGTTAATCATTAACCGTTGCTGAGTTTTGATTAGAATGATTATTTTGGTTTTAATTTCTGATTGAATAAAAATGACAACAAAATGATACGCTTGACACACTTGTTTCTAATTGTATTTTTGTTCTTGAACAATCTTGCAGGCTCATGGTAGCTAGGCATCACATCAAATGGATACGTCTTTGATCTCTTCGAAATTGTCCAAAAAGGGATTATACGAGATAGAAAGTGATTCACATCAGAATCTGATTATAAGGCAATTACAATGAAGCTCAGGTTTTCTCTATGGACATGTTTGATGTAAACATGAACGTTTGATTCTTGCCTCGAACATTCATATATCTTCTTCAAAAGTACTACGTAACTCTTATTATCATTTGTACTTCCAGCTCCTATCTGTAGGAGGATTGAAGTAAATCCTAACTTGCTTAAAAGCTCTTTTCTAAATAAATATTAATTAAGAGACATATTAAGAGAGCTTTCTGCGTTGCTACTTGCCAATGCCATAGTGAATACAAAAAATTACATTGTGCAGCCCATATCCAAAATTTATCAAAAGAAACTGTCGAATACAAGGTCTTGCAAAAATTTTGCGCTTTGATTATGAGTGTCAATAAAATGATTGAGAAAAATTGAGGAATTTTTGAAAAAATGATCGTGCATGTGTGTTTTTAATAATGGTTGTTAAACTCAATAAAGGTACCAAGTTACCTGAATAAAATTTGTCGTATAACACACGGGATCTTATCATTAGCTCAAAATGCCAGTGACCGAGAACATGAAGAATTTTTTGTTTTGATCAAAATGCGGCAGCTTTACTGACGTTCTCTTCCAAATAAACAATCTTACGTCACAATTCTATTGATAAAAGCCAACTGCTTTCGAGAAATTGCATCTTAGTTTTGAGCTTCTTTGAGTATGGACAGCAGTTTGGTTCGCAAAAGTTATTGGCAGT